GATATACAGGCACTTCACGAGGATCTGACTCGACTTCAAAGTTGAGCAGACGACAACGGACTTACCTTTAACACTTCAAAGTGTAAAGTAGTCCATCTGCGACACGTCGCAGATTACAGTTACAACTTAGGAAACTTCTCTCTAGTAGTATCCCGAGTCGAAAAAGATTTAGGAGTCCTGGTGCCCTACGACATAAAGTCTTACGCCAACTGCGACAGAAATGCCCTTCGAGCAAATCTTGCACCGGTAACATTGAAGCGCATTTTTGGTCAGTTTGACGGGAGAACTTTCCACACAATCTTCAATAGTGTTATTCGTCCCCATTTAGAGTACGGGAACATAGTATTCCCTCCTACACTCCAAAAGGATAAGGACACTCTGGAGCGTATCCAACGGCGAGCCACGAAATCAGTTCGGGGACTCAAATTTAAACCTTACGATGAGTGCCTTCAAACACTCGACTTTTACCCATTAGAGTATAGGTGTCTTAGAGGTGACCTAATGGCTTACAGCATCCTTAACACTCCTGGATATCCTCTTAAACACCTACTTAAGCTTAGTCCCAACACTAACTTAAGGGGTAACACCCAGAAATTAGAGATACAACATAGTAGAACGGACTGCAGGCACAACTTTCACTCTTAAAAAGTCGTCAAATGCTGGAATTCGCTGCCGGCTGAGCTAGTACAAGTAACTTCCCAGGAGTCCTTTAAGAGGCGACTTGATCTATTCTTAAGGACTAAGGATAGTATCTTACTATGATTTACCAATTTCTTGTTTTCTCTTTTATCGTTAATATACCTAGGTTCTTGCCTGGAGGTATTGTTGAAACCCGTTACTAGACACGAAAGCCTGTTAAGCGGAAGCTTCTTCTATTCCGTCCACAACCATTTGTAGCATTTTGAACATATAGGTTATTACACCAACTTATCAAATGTTGAAACCTGTTACCCGAAGCATTGGTATGGGCACCTTCAATTGACCAACGCAAGAGAAAGCTGGAAGTTCACACAAACAATGCAGAAGAGGAAACATAGGCTATAAGCCTTCTGTACTTACCATACAAACCTAAATCTGCGAAATGAATTTTGAAAAATGTTGTTAGTTCTCAACTACTTCTATCTCAAATAAAAACTCAAGATGTTACTGGATCTAAGTGTGAAAACTATAAATGAAGACGTATTTTCAATTATTCAAACATTCGATTAGTTAGTTTAAAATCATAAAATGAAGGTCAGAGTTCATCTGGTAAACTGAAGCGCTTGAGAGAAAACGTCCCAGACTGGATATTGATCGTATGTATATCTTAATAAAAACACGAAATTCAGGATTTAATACTCGTATAAAGTAGTCATATGGCTCAAATTAGTGTTAATGGGATCAAAGCAGTGAATGATAATGAAAATCAACCTATTAACGATGATGTTATCCCCACAAGCATCTTCCATTGGAAGTGTTATCAAGGTTATTTCAGGACATTTCCTGCAATGATTAAGTTATGCGAACTATTGTGTGTCTTCATAGCGTTTACCATCAGTTTCTTGGATAAGAATTTTCTAACAGTGGGCGGTTCATGGCTGACCGTAACAACTGCGTTATCATTCATTGTCACCGCATTCTTTCTTGTCTTCCATCTCTTCCTTCTGCATCGTTTTATTGCGGCTCCTTGGTGTCTAATCGTGAGTGCTACTAACTACTAATAATTTTACCAGGAACTTGCTGCATATGTTATCGTATGCATATTTGTGTTTTCAAATGGAGTACTGTCTGCAGCATATTCTCACTTAAGTGGAATTATAATAGCAGAAACGGTAAGATTAAAACACATCAGTTTTGTAGAGTCCATTTTATGCGCATTAAGTGTGTTGGTGATGAGATTACTTTTTCTGGTTTTAGAAAGTTCTCGATGTAGTCGACGAATTTAAAGTTCTAGCTGCCTATATCTTCAGTAATAATAATTTGGTTGACCATATCTTCGAAATAAATCGCTTCCTATATTATAAGGCACAATAATGAAACCGCTCAAGACGCATGAGACAGGTACCTGTCTCATACGTATATCTCCGATAGTAACATTCTATATCTGTCTATGTTTAGAAAAAGATTTCTAGTCGCCTAATCAGTTATTTTATTCTAGTCTTTGAAGAGCATTGATATTAATCGGACCATTTGTGCCTTCAAACCTCAAGGTCTACGGATATCAGAGACTGATTGCGTTTACTTGGTAAGTCATTGAATAAAGAGTTCAAGGTTAATAGATCCGATAGCTTGACATTTTGATACTCACAGTAACATGTTGGACTCGTTCGTAATTATAGGGACTGAAGTGGGTCTCAGTCTCCCCATGAAGCAGTCTTTTAAGAAATAAAACATGTACCCATTGGTCCCTTTTTTAAGTAGAGTACCATACGATCTACCCTAATGTCTTCAAGAAGTCTGGTAGTCCCGAATTCGTGACTCACATGTTACACTGGTAATATTTAACTTTTTTATGTCCCTGGTTTATTAATACGAGATCTTGTTCTTTTTCAGATTTTCATCTTCATGGCTCTCGCTATTTATACAGTCGACAGTTTAGTTGCCTTCAAAATTTTTACAGCTGGGCGCTATTACGATTAAATTGTACCATCCCATGATTAAGTATGCTATTGTTTGCTTGTAATTTTAGACAGTCCTTAATGCAATTCTTTAGATGTCTTTGTTCGCTAATTTACCAATTTTTCATATTTCAAATTAAGATGTGGCATTCAAGAAACCTGTCTTCAGTATTCTTGAACTATTTTTCCGCATAACTGCAAAATAGATCTGATCCTGATTGGCATAATAAGATCAAACAAGAAACCTGCACACCAACTCACACAGAGGTTTTGTTCTTTGTTTACCCCAACTAAGTTAACATCGTTTTAAGCTTATCAATACAAAACAAAAGACAAGTCCTTTTTCTGTTTTATCGTCTTACTATTTTACATAGGATTAAGCACTTGATAACTCCTATATAGTGGATTAACTACTTTTATTTATCTAAACGCATAAATATTGGTAAAAGTAGGCACCAAACAGATATGCGCCACATAAATCATCCGATTTGTATGAGGGCTGAGATACTGCCCGTGAGCCCAAACCGAAGCAGATGGTTCTCTTAGAGGGCTGTATCCGGAGCCTTCGACATGTCCGATCCACAAGGCAGTGGAGCAACGTCAGAGGATGCAGTCCCATGGCAACCGGTGACCAACAATAGGTTCATAAGCCATGTGTTCCTTCAGGATAGTGGATCCCATGTGCACCATTGTTTTGGAATCAGGGTTTTCCGATTCCCCTAGGTGGACTCTCCGTGTCCACCAACCCGGCCAAAGCGCCGAACATTCGCTTTTTGTTCTCTCAATTTCGTCAACAACACCCCCGCCACGAGAAAGCAGTGAGTAGGACTTCCCTGGCAGAGGCTATATATGCGTGGCCATGTGAGAGTATTACGAGAGGGTGAGCGGACTCTCCCCACTCTCGGCCGTACCAGGGCATTTTGGGGCTTAACTACTACCAAACAAATGTCAATTCGAGTTTGGTAGTAGTTCTTATATATATAAGCAGAATACAAAGATCGTTAGTCTATTTAACATCCAAGTGAAAATGACTATAACGTGTATAAATATGACAAAGCAAACTGAGTGCAACAAAATTTTATGATCAGATATCGAAAATTCACGGGACCAGAATTAGGATTCGTAGTCGGAATCAATTTAAAAGCGCATCCTAACGCTGAAGAAGCATGACCATGGATATCAACTCATCCAGTGTGTATTCCAGTACACGTCTCACAGCTAGTAGCAAACACGCTTGATTTTAGTGTTTCTATGTATTATATGAATTGATACACATTTGACCACATGATGATAAATTACGAGTGAACATAATGATCTGACAGTAGGTAAATCTCACTGTTAAACAGAACTTTTCACTAACGTTGTTAGTGGTGGTAGATAGAACAATTAAATTGGATAAACTAAGGTGAACTAGAATAGTCTTCGAATTCATCTTTTAGTATTTAGAACCGCCGGTGTTCATGTTTGAGATCTTAGAAACTAAGAGTTGCTGATCCTTTGCGATAGTCCAGAACGGGTTACGATTAAACGTGCGATCATACCACTTCTAGATAACTATTATTTTTGTATCTACGCACCTTATTACTACCAATTTTTTGTACATTCAAAACATATGCTTAAAAGACCGCTTCCATACGTTTAAAATAATAGACTCATCAAAATGTGCGAATTTTACGAGTTGATATTAACTGTTTAGCTCTTTCTTACTATGTTTGTTTTCATAAGTAAACATGCTCAAAATTACATTCAATATGTAAGAAATCACACCCTTCCGGATGAACGTTTTCACTCCTTATGTTTACTCAGTCAATATTATAAACCAGTCACTTGCTGAAACCTTTCCTAGAACTACAAATCTGTGTGAACATAACGGCCTCTGATCGTTTCCCTTCCAATTTGAACAGCTTTATGAAAAGAACAAAACCTTTTACCTGCACTTTACGTAATTGCTTTTTACATTTTTGTTTCCTTTGTATTCTCTTAAGTTTTCTCCGTTTTTTGGTGCATATAATGTAACGCTAGTACTGTAGTAATTTTGTGTTTAGATAAGAAATAATATACGTGATATGTGAATATTTCAAACTACGAAGAACAAAAGTATGAGACACCATACGTTTGTTTGGTAAAAATACTAATTCTAAATAAGTATGGAGCGTTCTGCCAAAACTTTATTAAGCATGGGTTACTTTTACTAACCATTCACTATGCAAAGGTTTATAGCATTTATACATCAAGGAGTTTAGAAATTTATGTTTACCCACAATCCACGAAATTTACATTTCATACACTCAGGGAGTTTTCAAAGACGTGGTACCTTGATCGCTTTACATAAATAAGTTGAAAAAGCATTTTCTTGGCAGATATATGGAGAAAACCCACAAATTACTAAACGACACATTTCTTAACGCTGGGAGTTTAGTAAAAATATATTTCTTTTGATGAAAGCTAGGTATTTTACATAGAAATTTAAAATAAAGTAATAAATTATGAACTAAAAATGAAGGATTATTAGAACATTAATTAAGTAATCCTAACATATTTAGAAAATCATATTTACCACACGGTATAGTTTAGATTGGCGCTCAAGTGTCTCCAAAGGCATTTGTAATATGAGGCTTATTTTAAACAGTTAAGCAGTTTAAAAATATGATCTACATACTTGTAATGTGATTAGATCATTCAAAAATCCATCCAGATAACGAAACAAAAAATTATACGTAATCAGATGTTGGGTATTATGTTGATTTTGAAACGAAAAATCATTCTGCAGAGCTGTGATGCTGTTTTAAATAGCTGGTTAACATGAAAATATACTTTTGCAAAGCGTTTGCACATGAGTTACAAATTCACTGTCATGAATTATAAAGATCTGTAGATTTATTCTAATGAAGAAATCAAGATACATCCGGTTAATTGAAAACATTGCTATTGTAGAGGTAAAGAACCCGAAACGTTAGACAGATCCCTTGGTTAATTTTTTTAGCTTTCATCAACTAAACAAAACAAGAGGCAATAAACCTAAAAGACAACCAGTAGTAATGCCGACGATCCGTCCCTAAAAATAAAGGAACATACTTTATGAGTGTTAATAATCAGCCTTAATTCCAATCACAAATAACACAAGCTTAAAATAATTTGAAGTATTTTACTACCGCAAGATTATTTTTAATGCTGAAAATTTAGCATATCAGTTGCAGTATTGACACATGCTAACAGTCAAAACAAGACAAATTATTCACTAAAAGAAAAAGACACTACACTGCACTAGAAACTTGGACCTGTAATACAATCAGAAAGCACTGGTCTGACCAAGTTTTACTGTTTGTGGGGTTAAAAACCTGATTACCATATATGGTCATAACGTATGAGCAGGAAGTAGTGTGCACTGAACTAAATCCCTATGACACACATGCACAGTTAGTGGAAATTAACAAGATGTATAGCGGAGCAAAAGTAGTATTGGTGCCCATGACATGTTTCTAAAAAAGTGAATGTGAAGAATAATGTTGCATTCCAAGATCTAGAAGACGGAAAATGGATGCATCTAACTCACTGTAATCGATTCGAACTCTTGAAGTCAAGATATGTAATTGACATAAGATTCAGTTATTATTATAGCTCACCAATCCACCATATCAAGAAACCTTCAAATATGGAGAACCTTATGTATAGTGTTCTTAAGATTCGATGTGGATTAAATTCCACAATAATTCAGGGAAGCAACATAGACTAATGGCACAAAGCTTTAATAATTGTGCATTCACAACCCTAAAGATTCACTTGGTTGGTTAGGTAGGATACTTTAAAGTAAGTCCCTAGATTTTATCTACGGTTTATGGACACGTTATGGACTCTTGATTAAAAACCACCTGATAGTTGATAAAAAATAAAGTCTTCGGATAATTACTGTTCCCATAAACACATTTGTTACTGAATAGTCATTTTTTATAAATCATTATGTAGACCTGTAAATGACAGATTCAGCGATCCGCCTAGAAGTATATCAGACCCAGTATTTGCAATAAATTCAATTTTACAAAGAAATTAGAAGAGTCATAGTAATTCATTCCTAAAAATGATGGTTCCTAAAGATATTTTACCGAAAGTTCTACAGTTACATTTTTAATCTACAAGTGACCATAGAAACTTCAAAAACTGGCATTGTCTAGTCATCATGCGTAATAACATTTTTATGAGTCCCAGGAATTTTCATATATTGTTCATAGAATCCCTTTTTCAACTAGCTTCCCATTAAGCAATCGAAAAACGAAATTTCCTGTTCATAACTTCTATGGTTTTTCTATTGGACTTAAGGGTGCTTACCAATTCGACCATTTTACTCACTGAGTTGAAATACATAATTTAAGACTACCCGACCTACCAATTTATCGCTATGATGAAGGGACTATGGTAATTTAATTCAATCTAGTTTTTGGTAAAAAGGACTCGTCTTTTAGCTGATAGCCCACAAGTATATAAATCCCTACAGAATTCCTTGGTCTAAGATTCATTCCAGAGAAAGACTATGAGTACTACACGAAGAAAGTTCTTGGCTTTGCTTAATGGTCTTGGATGACTAGCCTATATCATATACCTATAGTCAACATTGTTAAAACGATCGATTTACCACATTTGGTAGAAGTTTAAGATAACGTGTAAAAACAGGTAGACATTTCAATGTCCTAAATACATCTGTTTTAGGATTTGCGTTAAAGCTGAGGACAGTAGGCTTAGATGGTGCGCCTGACTTCAGAACAGTCAGGGTAAATTTCATGGTGAGGCAAAATGAGTCAAAGCTTCTAATAATTAGGACTGGACAGTGCAAATTTTGCGAAAAACCAATGACAAAAATTGATAGATTAGATGTTTATAATGTGTGAATTAAAGTTGTCAGAGTTACATAATAAGTAAGTTTTCTTTACAGTTGAATAGAGTACCACACTTTTGTGACCGGCGATTTCCAAATGAATAAAAGGTGGAGTAAGTCGTCTCAAAACATGAATCAACAAATGTGGCAGTTACGTTGGAGTTAGAATATGATAATAACCATGAGTCCGGATCGAGGTTCCTGTTAAATTTGTTTCCGGACTTCCTGATCTTTTATGCAAACATCTAACACTTAATGCAACCTAGTAACCAAATAAAGATGCGGGATCGGGCGGAAATTTTTTTAAGTGTTAGTAATAATACCAAGTAACTTAAAAGGAAAAAAGTATGGTAAGGCCTGAGCCTGAAACCCAATACTTGAAAGTTCAGTGCTGTATAAGTTTGCACCCGACACATGTATTGATTTTAGTTGATATGGTTATTAACAACTTTGAAAACGACGCTTGAAAAACATGATGTACCTGAATGCTGTAACTAGAACTTACTATTGCTATAGACCAACGAACTGAACTGCTGGCTAGTTGGGATGCAGACAATGGAGGAACGGAAATGCCAATTTTTTCCATGAACTTTTCAACGTAGCCGACAAGTCTGTAATAATAGTGGAAACATTTTCCTCTTTTATTGAAATGTTATTGAGTTGAATAGGTCTAAACGTGACTCACACATAATACAGTAAGTTTATAAATCCCTGATGTTTTGTTGCTATATCTAAAAGGGAAAAGCCTAGCTGTGATGATTTTGGAGAGGACTAAAATATACTCATACTTAGGAAATATACTACATAAACAAATTACGGTAAAAGCCCTCATAAATTATAAAAACGTAGCTTAGATATCATTCAATTGAAATGTTTACAAGTAGTACTATCCTCTGAATTTTAGTTGTGAATAATTTAATGAGAAGACGTATTTACCTAAAATATAGTAAATCGAGAAGTTATTTTTGATATTCAACAGACGAGTTAAAATGCGCGTCATAAATGGGCTCTTGAAATCACCTATCACAAACCATCTATGTTTACAGGGTGGGAATAAACCACCACATTTAGGTTTAATTAGTTCATCTGATCGGTAAAACTTAACTGACATAATTAATTCGTGTGAAAAAGTCAAGATCTTTCAGAATTATAGGCCCTTCCGTAAGTTCAGCTGAGAAAATACAACAGGTTGTGTTTTTAACCAAACAAAGAACTAGCACAATAAACTCATCCCAAAATTTTAAAATAACTCAAATTAGTTGCGATCGATCTGTATCACTGAATCGCTTAAATTTCTCTAAGTTGAGTGATTGTAGCCAAGCTTTTACTGCTTAGGAAAAAGGGATATTTCTACTGGTTTAAAATGAGAAAAGTCAGACTATTCAATAATTACAAAACTAATTTACGAGTTAAATGAACCTAGACACTGGATTCATACTGAGGGCTGAGTTGAGGGACGGATCCCAATTAGATGTGATTACAAACTCACCCTATGCCAAAAAGGTCGGAAACAAGATTTCCTAGACCGGCAGCTAGAAACATGAAAATTATCAGAAATACAGGTACCAGCCATTGTCGAAATGCCCAAGAATGTTGCGAATTGCACGTCAATGTACTCCCCCTATGCCAAAACGATGATAAGAAGTGATAGTGTTTAAATCTCACTTACAGCTACTATCATAATTGCATTATCCAGGAAACCAAATCCTATGAAAGGGAGACAGTTACCTATAAAAACTAAGATACGATGCATATTCTTTCTCGTGAACTCACCACACTTAAGCTGCGCATATGTCAAATGAGCTACCTCAACTTGTTGTGCACTCACTGGGGAGGCCGGTTTTTCCTTGATGCACTTGGATAATTCTTGGTACAGGAGCATTTTGTCACTTGGTGACAATTTACTAATAATCCTGCAAATCCACAGGTTCTCGGACCGTCGATTGAAACTTCCACATAACGGAGAACACTGAACGAAGAGGCTTCTATTTACACAGGTCAGAGCCCTTCTTCCTGGACAGACAAAACTTTTGCACCAAAACATGTAACGCACTGATCAATTTTAAGACGCCCCTGTCCAACAATCAATATCCGTTGTAGCTCGTATAGACCGATCACTTTGTTTGCGCTTGCTTCTTGTTGTTTCGGTAAGAGCCAATGTCTTCGGTGATGCAAAATGCAGATAGTCTGGCTACCAAAACGCACTGGTATAATGAGTTTGACTGTTATTTGCAGGTATGTGTATCTCATAATCTGAGTAGTTTGTCTCAAAATGATAGGCTTTTGGATACCGGTATCTATCTCAACATCAGGCAGGAAGTCGTTTGGTTGCAATGTAAACGGCAATAGGGAGAAAATTCGAATGAGAAGAGGAGCTTGTTATTTCAAGGACTGAATATTTCGTTGACCCTAATTAGGCCTGAAAAAAATGTGATTTGATTCAAATGGTTGTGGACGGAATAGAAGAATCTTTCGCTTAACAGGCTTCCGCGTCTAGTAGCAGTGGATCACCAATACCTCCAGGCAAGAACCTAGCTATATTAACGATAAAAGAGAAAGAAAATGAATTGGTAAATCATAGTAGGATACTATCCTTAGTCCTTAAGAATAGATCAAGTCGCCTCTTAAAGGACTCCTGGGAAGTTGCTTGTACTAGCTCAGCCGGCAGCGAATTCCAGCATTTGACGACTTTTTAAGAGTGAAAGTTGTGCCTGCAGTCCGTTCTACTATGTTGTATCTCTAATTTCTGGGTGTTACCCCTTAAGTTAGTGTTGGGACTAAGCTTAAGTAGGTGTTTAAGAGGATATCCAGGAGTGTTAAGGATGCTGTAAGCCATTAGGTCACCTCTAAGACACCTATACTCTAATGGGTAAAAGTCGAGTGTTTGAAGGCACTCATCGTAAGGTTTAAATTTGAGTCCCCGAACTGATTTCGTGGCTCGCCGTTGGATACGCTCCAGAGTGTCCTTATCCTTTTGGAGTGTAGGAGGGAATACTATGTTCCCGTACTCTAAATGGGGACGAATAACACTATTGAAGATTGTGTGGAAAGTTCTCCCGTCAAACTGACCAAAAATGCGCTTCAATGTTACCGGTGCAAGATTTGCTCGAAGGGCATTTCTGTCGCAGTTGGCGTAAGACTTTATGTCGTAGGGCACCAGGACTCCTAAATCTTTTTCGACTCGGGATACTACTAGAGAGAAGTTTCCTAAGTTGTAACTGTAATCTGCGACGTGTCGCAGATGGACTACTTTACACTTTGAAGTGTTAAAGGTAAGTCCGTTGTCGTCTGCTCAACTTTGAAGTCGAGTCAGATCCTCGTGAAGTGCCTGTATATCCTCTTGGTTGCGTATCTCTCTCCAAAGTTGCACGTCGTCGGTAAAGAGCAATAAGTCTGACGTTACCTGTTGAGGAAGATCATTTATATAAATCAGGAAGAGAAGAGGTCCTAGTACTGAGCCCTGGAGGACCCCACTAGAACATTCCATAGCGTGTGATAAATTGAAGTTTACCCTGTGAGAAATTGAAGTTCAACACTATAAAATCGATTGTTTAGAAATGGAGCAAAATTCCATATCAACCGTGAATCGACATCCATCAGCTCGAGCTTGTTGATAAGACACTTCTAATGGACCCCATCAAGGGCTTTCAAAAATCGATGTTGATCACATTCACCCCAAAACCGTGATCGAGGATAGCATCCCGTGTGCCGTACAACATATTAGCCTAATTGAGTAATTTATTAAAGTAAAGCCCGTAGTATTTGTAACAACTTGCTATTGCCTGTAAACCAGCATGCTTCACGCAACATATCGCTATTTGAGAATACATTATTGTTACCTACTTACACCAAGATACATGCGAAATTCCTCTTTTCAGTACAATGTATCTCGCCTGAAATACCCACAAAAATCCAGTCTCGTATTCAGCATCCAATTGACGCACCACATTTTAGGCTGCACGATTCAGCCTGAATTCAACAGTCGCCAATTTATGTAACAATATTTTGTTGTATGTTTTCTACAGGAAAACTTTTGTTATGATCCTGAAGAAAATGCCCAAACGATTTTGACTTAATAAATTACATAGCAATTGTAAGTCTGATCTTGAATATCTATTGGCATGCCTCACGTAGGCAGTTTATAGAAATTAGTATTCAATGTGATACAAAATGACAACAGTACAAAACAACGAGTGTTAGTGCTTTATTCATATCCGTCATTGCTTCGGGGTTTTCATCACACTCATACGATTTTTCCAGTACTTTGTCCATTGGTCCCCGGCTATGCTACATTGAACGAGTGTGGTCAATGGGACAGCATATTCTTCTCGGTTTAGACATTGGCACTATCAGACTAGCCAGTGTCGTAAACGAGAACATAATGAAACATGTTTCAGGCTCTATCTATTTATTTGAAACAAAGTAGGACTCTACGTGAGTTGGTAGGCAGTAAAGTACATTTGCCACTAGCGGAGTCTTTATTGCTAAGCAGTTGTTTTGTCCGACAATCAACCAGAACTCATAGATGACCTTAGGTAATCAAGGCTCAGTAAGAAGGTGGATGATTGCAACTCTGTGCCCAATATTAACTTGCCTCGAACGAAGAAGAAGAACTCGAGACCAATATTCACCAGTTCAAGATCATTATATTTTAGACATTCACTTATATACACACAAGACAAGACCACAAAGCAGGCCAGTTGGGTAGCATTATTAACATAGAACAACAACATTAATGATCGGAAAACGGAATAGTGGATGCACAGTGAGTCCATTCCTGCTTACGAGCGAAAAATACCATATCAACAAATTATGATTTAAATGAGATCTTAGTATTATGACAATAAGAAAAAATCAAGCAAGAATACATGATAAACGTTCAATCAATATGTAAAAACAAAATCGTAGAAAAATAGCTTCAAATTCGTTCCCTCCATTTCCAGTCAGACGACAATAGTGAGTGTGCGACCATCCAGTCAATATTATTGGTGATAAGATGTGACTCAGATTTATAAGCAGGCGACAACTTCAATCGGAGTAAGATCAACGACCAATCAAACTAATAAGCCTCAGATGATAGACACATACTCAAGTACGGACAGAGCGCATGAGAGGAGAAATACGAGGACACAAAAATAAGACATTTGTTTGTGCTACAAGTTCCTATGAAAACAAGTTATGAAAATAGAAAGAATGGATGGTCACATTCTGTCTGGATTATTGAGTCTCTTTAGAAGTAGGATGAATCATGTGTGTATTAGTACTAGACACTACGCATTATTTCTGACATACTACGTAGTATAGGTTGAACCCTCACTATTCTCGTTAAGGTGAAGTTCCCCGTGTCCATCGAATAACAGACCCTATTGCTACGTAACTAACAAGCCCCCATAAGTTTACAACAGTTGTATGTACTTTAGAATGAAAATTACCATTATGTTTCATTTTGACCCCTTGAGTATGGTCATAAGAAGGTGTTACAATCAAAATCGGTTTTCCAAACGCTCCATCTTTGACTAGATGGTAATAACCACTACAGTTTCATTCCTGTGACAGAAGTGATCAAATTACGTGCACAATTCTTAGGCACTTGGACTGCCTTTCCTTCATATGGACTGACCGTGCTCTCTTTATCTAATTAACTTGCTAAATTTTCCGTTATACTGCCACTTAACCTATGTACTTTTTCTAGTTGTTCTTCGCACTCAACGTGTATCCTTATTCTACTACCACTTTCATTGGACGCAATCAACTCAAGTGCATAATTCATCGAATTATGAATGAAATTCACTTTGGAAGCAATTGCACTGCAGTAAGTCTTGTTAAGATGCCAAAGATTATCATCAAGCTTAGAGCCGCGAAATGAGGATGTATCGTAAAAAATTGGGGCGCAACTGGTAGGGACTGAGTAAAATTACCACACTTGACCGTCACTTCAATTGGAACATGCTCTTTTTTCTTGACAGACGTATCCCACAATAAGTTAGATTGTTAACCGAAGTATTTCACATTTTCGAACAATCTTAGTTCTTCACTGAGGTAAAAAGATAGAGCTTCGGCAGAGTCATGCCCTCTACACTATGTGTTCCACAAGGTTGACTTTGGAAATATTGGAGCATTTAAAGCATAGCATTAGGCACCATGTTGAATTATTACGACTGAAAATCTCATCGGTGTACAAACGATATATTAACAAGAGGGAACAATGGTACAAGGCAGTCACATATCATGTTTTGGTCTAATTGTCGTTGCTAAAAAGAGACAAGCCGTATGTTGCTAGGTACTTGTCCGTGGTTTGGAGTGATGCCCATGTTTTGTATACCCCTACAAGATGGGTATCAGGGAGGGTAGCGTCACTGACCAGCAAACATGATAATGGAGTGATAACTTCTACCCGCCTGTGTTTGCAGGGTAGAACATTTTTTTAAATTGCGGCTACTTATGGTCTGGTGGAATGTCACGAACCAAGGTATTGATGCTGATTTATTATGCAAAATACCTTTTTAAATCGTATTTAAAAGTCTGGGTTAGTTTAACTTCCTACAGAGTAATCCTACCACAAGCAAACTAGACAATTAGCTGTAAGCGAAGCCTGTTCAAGACCTTATAAAATCTACAAAAATGGCCCAAATAGCTCTGACAGAATGAGAGACAGTCATTTGTATATCAGAATAATGTTTTTGGCACTATATTTTATAACTACACATATTCCCACACTTTCAGCTTCTTTCTGAACCACCCTTATTCATACAGTTCATTATGGACTAATACCTTGTGTACATTTATTTTTTTAACATATTAGAATGCTCTTGCTGAATAAATACCTTAATAAAAGAGAATTAGACTGAGTAGTCATACCTTAACTATTCCTCGATGAACATTGTCTGCTCTGCTTCTCGTCCCTTCTTTTTCTTATACCTTTCTTCAACCACATTGAGATATGCCACCGAAAACAGATATTGGAAGGGAGACTGCGTTCTGGACCATCATTAAGGCCTCAGATATTCCAGAGAGAGATAAGGTTGCGGGTTCTGGATGCCCCCCAACTTCACGTGGATCTACACTCGATCACCAGTTGCACGTCGCAACGAGACCTTCATAAAGCGCGCCAACTGTGATATTAATAATAAGAGTCTTACTAAAGGCATTTACATTCATATCTCATAGAGTATCAACTCAGCAGGGTAATTTACCACAGTGAAAATTGTATCATTTAAAACAGTATTATCTTGCTCGTAAACTGGCATGCCTCATGTAATCTGATATATAGTCGCCTACCAAGCCCAACCACCAGAAGGAAAATAACTCGATAAACAAGTGGTGTTATTTGACCCAAATATAACCTCCGTTCAGTAGATACAGAAAATTTTAAAGGTGGTCGTAATGGATTTATCAACATATGAAGCATGAAGCCCTAATTTAAGCATATCAATCCTTCACTATGCAACACAGAACAACAGGAAATATAATGATCACACAACGGAAGAAAATAAACATATATTTTACCTGTAAAGTCTTAATCTTAATGGAAGGTTGTCGGTTAACTCCTAATCATTTAACTTAGATTGTAACAGTACAAATTAAAATGAAAAAAAAACATAAAAGATGTAATGTACAGTACCTGTATAGTTTTTAAACAATTGCATACAGTTAACAAATACTCAGAGATCAGGACAATTTCAGTCTGCATCACAGGTCAGTAATCGACCTTTAGCTCTCTCAGAACGTGAAAGATCAAAGTTCTCAATAGCGATTAGCTTTTATAACTAACGGAATATGTGATCTCCATCGTTTAGGGGTGTTCAATCTTGTGAATAAAGCAATAATAACCAGTCACTAAATTTTACTGCCATCGATGACAGCGACTGGGCAAAAACAGTAAGCCTGACATTGAGAAACTACACGTCAAGAGAAACGTTAGAAGACTATAATTAGAGACAAAGTGAACGGTTTTATATTCTTGTAAATAAGAATTTGTAGGGAACTTGCAAATATAAGGGATAGAAAGTGTTAACTATACATTAAAGTAAAAACAACAGGTTTTTATCGCAAAAACGTGACATAGAGGAGTATTCACACGTATCCATAAGAAGACACAAAAGGATGCTACACCCCTAACCCTTTTTCGTTCATGACAGTCCATATATGAAATAGTCAGTAATAACTTTCTTGATACCTATCTTTATATCAAATGGCTTGGTCGGATGCAAATTGATCCCACTTGATTTCTGATATCCTTAAGCATGAAATACCTCCAGCGTAGTAGCCGCCACATTGGATGAAGAGAAAGTCATCACTATTCGCTGGGATCTATTACTTTCGTCCTCCGAGGCAAAACTGTTGGGTAAAGATATTCCTAAACTTAAAAAATGAATTACAAACTTTTCCAGGGACTATACGCAATAATATTCCTCCTGCAAAATAACATCTCATAGGATTACTTTGGAATATTCTTGTTGGAATATCCTCCATGTCTTCGCAACAATAAACGTAAAGAAAACGAGTCTTGACAAATTTCGACGTTTAGTATTTTATTATAGGGTAGGTCGTACTACTATCAATAATTAGATTTTAGTAGGTTTGGGCTCCTTGTTTAAATCATTACTAATCAAGGTCGTTGAAACAAGCAGATCTTTGAGTTTTGGAAGACGGTATCGCGTTTTTGTGTTTGTCAACATGATTCAATTTTTACTTCAGTCATTCTGACCTCTATTAACTATAAACCTGACTGTTTTTAGTAAAGATTGAGTTTAACCTTTATTGTGTTATTTGAAATCTACGGATACTATTACAAACTTTCTAAAACTGTCAGTCTGTTATCAACAACAAAAATTTAGTCTGTCAGTCTACATTGGATATAGTAGTGAATTATTCTTTATTGATATGATGCGTTACATTTGTGGAACCTGTGTGTTTCATCTTAAAGTTAAATCATTATCGTATTAATTACATATCATCAATACAAGAAATTTCGTGTGTGTTTAATATCTTAGCAGGTCCTTTGAAGTGTGCTACACATAGTGAAAACTTAATTGGTTATAGAGCTTGGTAGAAGCAACATATTTTTTCAAGGGAGAGGCAGGTAAATATGAGTCTAATACCCAGTTTGCGTAAATCAAAATAAGCATATCAAGCGGGTTGTTCCGGTATATGGTCGTTATGCTTGACGAAGCGCCTCTAGTTGTTAGTAACCGCTATAACCAAACTGACCAATACCATTATCAGACGTCTGTATAGCTGTTTGCTTTGAGGATTTATTTATCACTGCAACCTACAGGGTCGTTTGATTCTGAAAGTATCAAATTATTAGGCTCGTAAGTGTTTGTATATCACCATGGTTGGTTTATCCGGTATTTCTAAAATAAGTTTGCCTTCATGAAAAACAACCAACTAAGTGTCACTCTTTACAATGCTTTCATGAATAAATCACCCATAAGTATGGGCAAAGTTAAAAACTGCACATATTGAGGTCTAGTTTTGTCCAGTAGTCAAGTGATTTGCTAAGCAGATGCGTTTAGCATGAAAGCAATATTTCTGTGATGTTTGTAGGAATTGTTTTGCATTTGATTGAAAAATTCACCTTACCAGACTTAAATGTCTTCATAGATGCAGCGTAGGCACTAAAGGATGATAGTTAAATGCAAGTTGTCCTCCTACATCGGAAACTAGACTTTGATGCGTTACCAGGTTTGCTAAACTGACATGAAAGTAGCCCGCCATCGGTATCTGCGCTTAGAGACAAAACGTTATGGTATAATGCATCTAGGTATTCCAGCGTTTCAGACTGATAATCATCCATTCGCAACGAGGAGCCTGGTACGTATGTACATTGGCTCATGTTGCCATGGCCTATTAGCAAAGAGAGATGAATTTGTCATGCCAAATCCCGTAATTTTTGAGAGGTAACAGTTTGATTGGTGAAAAAAGTCTAGCCATCAAAGATTCGATTTGAAAAATATAAATTAACGAAATAAAGGCACAACGGATATGAAAAACGCAGAAGGTTAGAACTTGGGGACGACAAAGAATGGGTGCACATGCGTTACTACAAACAGTTTTGAGCGATATCTTTAACCAGTGGCTACAAATTACATGCAGATCACAAATTGACAGTTACAAAGAAATCAAAACCACTCGTTAGATAAATAAGACGGTATCTCGACAAATTCAAAGCATTACAGACTTGGTCTTCAGTAAAGGTTCTTCCAGTGTAGTGTGATGATATTTCCACCCTGACATTACTTGATCCATTTAACCAGTTAAACAGTGGATAGTTCAGCATTTCCTACGTTATAAAAGTTAATGTAATTTTCACCGTGGGAAGTAGAGGGGGCTGAGTGGCTTATTCCAGTCCTGGGGGTTGTAGTATCTCAGTCGGTCCAACTTTCTTTTGAATGCGCCGGGAGATAAAGCCACGGAAAAGTTTGTTATTCATGAAATAATTGCCTTGTACCCTTCACAAAACTTTGAGATGGCTTTAATTGAATCCCTGACATCATGGATATCAACACAGGTTTTCGGAACATTTTGCTGATGGTAGACTTTGAAGCTGTTTTAACCTTTAGTAATGAATTTTGTCAGTAAATATAAGCAGATTTGTCAGTCCTATAAAATCATTTGTGGGATAAAGTTTGTTTCCGCATTTCTAGTCTTTATGCAACTGCACCATCAAAAAGTTAGTCTGTGTTGTTAAGCCAGTTTGATGAGATAACAGTGTCTGGTTATCAGCATGTCGCTCTCATATATCCAAGCGAGAAATAGCATGGTAGTAAATTAATTCAAACAGTAAAAACAAAACAGACGTTAAGCAGATATGATCGTTGGCGTTTCTGGATTAATTTTAACTAAACATTTTAGTCTGCATAGTCATTCTAACGTTGCTTAGGAGGCTTAAATATTTTCTTAACTGACACTTGTTCGTCCTTCGATAGGGCATTTGCAGCGACCATTAAATCACTTACAAACAGGTTGTGATAAAAACCCGTCGTTTGAATGGTCAGATAAGTCAGTTATGTTGTAAAATACTCAACCCTCTGTTATAATCTAAGGTAAATAAATACGACCTTTGCACTGTCTTACGTTTTTAGAGCTTAAAAAAGATTAGTTGTTTTCGATAGATGACAAAATACTTAATTTTTATTTTTCACATGAAGTTTATAGAATAAACATTTTAATGCTTCATCACTACTATGAACTGTCAGTGTTTTTCAATCACTAGTTTGTCCTTTATTTTTTTATATAACTTACCTCTTGAAGTGTGCTAATTGTCTACTTTAAACCATGTTTTTGGAAGTAATTATTGGGATTTTGTTTAACATCACTCATTGTTACTTATACTTTTAAAATTTAGAGTTCAGGTTTTCTGTCAGATAAACTGCTATTACGTGTAAATAAATAGTTTCAATTATTCTACACGTGTATACTAAAGAGAATGCCAAAAGTTTATTTGATTGATTTTATGTGACTGGATTTCTTTACGTTATCGTATCAACATGAATGATTTTCAGAAGTTATTGTTAATTTTTGGTGGATTTGTTTCTTATATGCTGGCTGATGGATACACTTACTCTATGGGTATATTATATTCGGAGCTCATGAGTGCTTTCCATCTTAGCAGTGTTGAAACTGCCACCCTACCTGGAATGATTTTCTCAATGCCTCAATTTTTTGCACCCTTTCTGTGTCCATTACTTGACACTTATGGATTTTCGTCAGGTTCTGCATGGGGTGCAATGTTAATGTGGATCGGATGCTTTGGTAAGTTTAAAATATGATTATAATTTCAAACTAAATATACTATTTTAGTTTCCTCCTTTGTGAACAGCTTTCACATTTTATACTTGACTCTGGGCATATTGACCAGTATTGGACTTCAGTTGACATATTTATCCGCACTGATGTCAGTTACTGCCCAATTTGAGAACAGTTCATAGTGAGTTGAAATGTTAACCTTGGTTTTCACATGAGCAATAAAGTTGCAGCTGTTTTCAGTTTTTTGACTGGTTAGCAACAACAAACTACATTGATCTACATGCAAACTAAGTCTTGGGTATAAAATGCGTAAGATGAATAGTTAAAAGTTTACCATATAAATATACATTTATGTGGTGTAAAGGTAGAACTATTATGGCTGTGTTGGATGAACCCTTTAAAAATTCTCTGTTTTAATGATAGCACAGAGAGTGTTAGTACTTCACTTTTTATACCTTAAACGCTGGCAAGTGGGAAAGCAGAATCCTAGCTAAAGATGCTTGTTTGACCTTCATTACAAATATAAAACATTCAAAAATAAATCTGTATTTTCATGATAATCTTGCATCTGATCAAGAATAAATTCTTGAGAATGCTAGTTTTAAGGAGTCGAGTGTGAATTTAAGTAAGTGAACTTCCAACATCCTGATAAAATTTTAATACATTTTAATTATGATAATATATACAGTTCCCTTGGAAAATGGTAATATTTTAAAACTAAGGCTTGACACCAGAATCTTACGTACGTTGATGCAGACGTAAAAACAGGAAGAGCTCTTGGAATATGTGGCTGCGAAAATGAATACATCTACATTTTAATTCTTTTTTTTCAAAGCTTCTAATGAACTCATATATATTTATTTTAGCTTCTTTGAGATTAGTGTGGTCTCGCTATTCCCTTTTTTTGTCTGATTTGTTACTTTTTCACTGCAAACAGTTATTTTCCTGTGATAAAGAAAACGATAGGTATAATAAGCCAGCAGAAATATGTAGGTAAAATTAATATGACGAATTGTACGTATAAAATATCCATATGGTAGGTAAATCAATGAAAAAATACTTTGAATAAAAACACAAGCAAGATAGCTTTCGTTCACGGAAAAGATGTACCTTGATTTGTATAAAGAGCAGACCTCTCATTGACGTGTTTTACATTATACATTCGAAAGTCAGATTAACATTTTAACACCACCACAGATAACCCAGGTGATAGAAAGTATTTCGGGATTTATTGCACGTAGACTAACTGCATTATCTTTACCAATACAAGTAATTAGAGACAATATGAACTTGAATATTTTCGACAAGTTTTAACCAAGACTAAGTCAATATTCAAACTCACTCCACTAACGTAGAAACAAAAAGCGCACAACATTTAAAGACAGCGTTCTTCCCTATTATCGCTGTTCGATCACCTTTTTATCTGATCCCCTTCTTACCTCTGTTCTGATGTAAAGTGTAGTGACTTAAAGTGACACCCATTTGTCTCAGATACTGAATTATTTATAACTATAGACCTACATAAGCTAAAAGTTATCAGGCACTTTACCAGTGTTCCAACTGTTTCTGAATGTTTCATTTCGGTTACCGAATGGTTTTTAGTTCAAACTGATTTTTTGTTCGATCATAAGTCCTCACAGCTGACGAATTTTAATCCATGATTAAAGAGCTGTTCGGTAATCATTAGATTTTAATAGCTTTAGAACTTTTCCTGTCCATGACAAATAAATTTATAAAAACAATACAAATCCTACGAAACATTCAAGTAAATAACTCAGTTATTGACTCATTCTTAAGTAGAAGCTGACACTCCACATGTAGCTCTTCTAGAGTTACTGCCGGTCCCAAGCCCGCGTAAAGGAGGAGGGTTGGGCATGGGGTTAGCGACCCCATCCCACAGAAAACTAACTCGCTAAAAAACGCTAACCATAAAAAATAACTCAAACCATCTAAACTCTGCCCTGGGAGTTAGAAGGTCTTCATTTAGAAGAAATATGACGCCTCATGGTGAGAGCCGAGTTCCTTCGAAAGCCATAAGGCCGATGCCCCTTCTATCGATCAATTTTCATGGGTACATGGAACGTCCGAACAATGTGGGAGACCAGGAAGACCAGTCAGATAGCAACGGAAATCAGGAGATACAACTTGGCAGAACTGGGAATCAGCGAAACCCATTGGACCCCAGCTGGACAACAAAGGCTAGATACGGCAGAGATGCTGTTATACTCGGGTTACGAAGGTGAAAATGCTACACACACTCAGGGAGTTGCTCTAATGCTGTCCAATGTAGCACGAAACGCACTTGTAGGATGGGAATTTGACGTATCCAGAATCATCAAAGCATCATTCAAAACAAAGAAGGAGGGGATCACAATGAACATTATCCAATGTTATGCACCCACCAATGATAGCAACGACGACATTAAAGATCAATTCTATGAGAGGCTGCAATCAATCATAGAGAAGTGCCCAAGAAAGGACCTCACCATTCTGATGGGCGATCTAAACGCCAAAGATATCATAGGACTACATGGACTGGGAGAGAGGAACGAAAACGGGCAAAGATTTGCAAATCTGTGTGCATTCGACAAATCGGTCATAGGCGGCACAATATTTCCACACAAACGTATACACAAAGCTACATCGATCTCACCGGACCACACCACACCACAGAGAACCAGATAGATCATATTTGCATCAATAAAAAGTTCCGAAGGACAATGGAAGATGTGAGAACCAGGAGAGGAGCGGACATAGCTTCAGATCACCACCTGGTTGTGGCCAATTTAAAACTGGAGCTAAAGAAGAACTGGACAACTGGAAAAACAGCACCACATAGGTTCAATACAGCCTTCCTTCGAGATACTGACAAACTCAATGAATTCAAGATAGCTCTCAACAACAGGTTCCAAGCCTTACAAGATCTACTGAAGGAAGAAGAAACTACTACGGAGGACAACCTAGAAGGTATCAAAGAAGCATTAACTTCAACGTGTCAAGAGGTTCTGGGCCCCGAGAAGCATCATCACAAGGAATGAATCTCTAACTGGTTATCTAAGCCGATATATGTAGAATGAGGTTCAAACCAATAACCATATGGCAGAGATCCACCAGACTTGATAATACGAAATTTGCCCAGAAATATTAGAGCATAGCAAATATTAGCTTACTATGAACTTTCTTTTTTTTCTTATGTCATTTTCTGAAAAAATTTCCATTAATAAGTTTACTTAACTCGAGGGATATGACAGTTTTCACAAAAAATCGAATTTTTTATCTTCTCTTAGAAGTTTAGCTAAAATATGAATGGTTGTAACAGGAGAACAACAATAATATTAGAATAACCTTGATTTGTTTACTATGTAGACTATTCGCAGTTTTTTGCAATCTCAAAACAACATTAATTATTGTTAAAACAGGTATACATACTTGATGCCATGTTTAAGGAAACGTTTTGATCAAATTTGAAATTGATAAAGAGTTAGATTTCCAATATCTAAGGAATATAAAAAGTGGTAATAACCGTTCATACAATTAATTATCTGTAGGTTATATATATAAATAATTTATGAGAGAAAAATGAGAAACACATGGAAACTGGCTTCTAGAAATGAAATATTAATATCGTATTTTACGTATAATACATTACTACTACAATTATTATTTTTGCCTTAATCTTGTAAAGAATGAGAAGTCCTGACCGTTGTTGCTACCTTGACGTGGTGGTCGGGCTTGCCTATCGTAATGAAGCAACTGAGCTATACTGGCTGGAACAACCGTTCCTCAAGGTCTTACCATGCCAGACAGGTCGGCTGAAGAGCGGTAAGGCTAAAAGCAACAAAACCAAGGTCCGAAGGCGAAGTTGTACTGCTGACTGTACAGAGGTGTGACAGCAGTAAGGTGTTTCCTTCAGACAACCAGCATAACAACGATGCTGCCTTCCCAAAAGGAGGAGTGGGGTTAGAAAAGGTCGACCCTAAAAATGCACACCTCACCTTATCCCACGGATATCCGTCTCCGGCGGTAAGGTCTCAACAAGTACGGAGATAACACAAAAATTACTCATAAAAAGGACCTCAAGCAGCTGTCCCTTGGGCACTGCGGTCACGCTCTCAGGTCACTATGACCACCTCTAATCCGATTTCTTTTTCAGGTACCTCCAGCAGAACCCTTCCACGGTGTGGGCGACCGGGAAGTGATAACCGCCCTCATACCTCTAACAGCACTCAAGACCACTGTATTATTTCGGATGAGAAGTGAATACATAATAAATAGAAGCAAAATACCTTTACGAATTGAAAATAATTGATTTCACCAATGTAAAAAAATCAATGAAGTTTAGCTATTTTCTGAACTTTGAATTCATTTTTAGTGATAAACTGATTCTTATGTATTTTCATTTTTATGATTTGGTCCTATCTTAAATCCTTTCGTATTACTGTACTTGAATAAAATTTTAAGCGTAACTTGAAATCAAACGGATTTGTCTAGGCTTTTCTGTTCTTTGTTATATTCTCAAGTTTAACATCTCTTTATTGTATCTGCATATGTCATTCTTATTGATATTACTTTTGAGGTTCTTCATAACATATTAATACCTGCCGTCTTTTTTGTGTTATATTAATACAAAGATTTCAATACAAACTTTTAGAGAATGTACAACGGTTTTTAATTATATTCACCTGGAAGTCAACTGCAGAAGCTTCAGTTATTGTATTCTTCTTAAACCTTTCTTGATAGAAAAATAAAAATTCATGATGAATTTGCATTTTAATTTCATTCAGAGATTTATGAAGTAATCTGAACTAAGGTATCTAAGATGTGAATACTGTTTTGTCCAATTTTTTGATATATAGTTTGGATTCAGTGCTAGTATTAGTAAATTAAATGAACAAACTTAACCTGGCGTAGTAAATGATCATTTTCTTAGCGTAAGATAATTATTAAGTTGACCTAAAATTCATGGGAAAAGCTACAGCTATCGAAATGCTAGTTTCCTGAACAGATACTCAAGTTATTTTCAATAGTTATTTGTCACTAAAAAATTTTATGTTTATGGATATTGATCTTTATTACTGACTTTTCCTTGCAAAGCACTTTTTAATTTAGCTTCTGCGGTTTTCCACGACAAAACTGCATATTATTTCCCAAAATGTTTTTACATTTAGTTTTGGTTTAGCCATAGGACTCACTATGTGTGGTTCAGGTGTTGGTGCATTTGGGTCGAATTACCTTATTGCTTGGCTCCTAAGTATTTGGAATTGGCGTGAGGTGTTATTGATCGAATCTGCCATACTTCTGAACATTTTGGTTACAGCATCGTGTTCTCATCATTTAGATGCAGAACTAAACGCGAAAACATTAGTGAAACATGAGCTGAGTTATCCTGACGATGTAAGTCATCATAAAGGCTGTCATTGTTTAAGTAAAACATAATGTCACAATATTTTATTGTTCAAATCACGCAAAGTTAAAGTGCGTTTATGGTCTCAAGTGGAACTTTTCTTAAGATCTCTCTAAATTTCGTTTCGTAGCTATTTAAAGCACTGATTTGGCGATCGACATATATTATGAGAAGTTATGCAGCAACTTTTTAATGACTGTTTCAGATGAACTTACAGAAAAATATTTTTTAATTATCTACCAGAAGCATTAATTATCCATCACACTAGACTACGCTTCAATAGGGAAACAACTGATTATAAACAGGATTGTACTTCCTAAACATATTTCGGGTTTCATTTCATACATTGGTTTTTATCAAAGGAACAATACAGTGTTTCTTGAAAGGATATTTATAACTGTTCCCGTGATTAAATAATGTTTAACAGAATTCATCCATCATAATTGGGATACTACTAAAAAACTTTTTACTATGCATATTTTCAGGCTTTATTTATGAGTTTATGATCAACAATCATGGATACCCAAATATAGGAATTACAGTCTCAACAATATGCTTGTTTATTGGATTAGACAAGCTAATTCGTTGCCTTTTGTTTGGACATCTAGCATAAAATTCTGAAAGAACGAAGGTACATTACTATGTATCTGCTTGAATATAATGACATCAGTTTAAATTTTATGAAGTTGAGGTTTTTCTTGCAATCATAGAATTTCCTCACTGTCGTATAGTATTTTTGAGCTATGTACATGTTTTCACTAAAGTAATTCCGTGGTGCTGGAAATGTTTGTTCTGTAAATTAATAATATTGGTCATTTTGTGTAGGTATGTAGAAACGGCTGTTTCAAATAAGTTGAAATGAATATACTTTATGTGTTAATCATGCGAGCTGCGACAATAGTTTCAGGTCATTCTCCGTCATCACCTTAAAATTGCCATTAAGCGCAATCGGTTGTAAGGAGACGCATTTAAACCTGAAGTCACTAAAGCTTAGGTCTGCTGATTATAATGTGTGTAGATTATAACGTGACACCCATAATATCATTTGAGTGAAACTTTTGGAAACATTATCTTTGCTCAGGAAAAGAAGGTGTACTAGGTCACGATGGTTCAGACACCGAAAGGAATATATGCATTTACTATTTGTGAGGTATCCTACTTATAATCGAAATCCAATAAGTACTATTGACTGCATTGCCGTTCGCTTCAAACGCCATCAACTCTGAGATGCAAGTACATCCGTCTATCAATTAAGGGATGAGTATACTGTGCGGTAGTTTGTTCTGTTTTACTTTACTGCTGCGAAACTTGACCATTAAGAGTAGAAGATATTCGTAAGCTATTATTATTTAACCACAGATGCCTTAGAAATATTGCTCGCATCTCCTGGGATCACCGGGTAAGTAATACTGAGGTTAGACACAGGGTATTAGGGAACGATGGTAAATCAGTTGATGAGGTTGCGAATCTTCATCGTCTGAGATGATTAGGCCACGTGTCACATATGCCTGAACACCGATTACCACGACGCAGAATGCTAATCAGTGTTGGGGATGGTTGGAAGAAGGTTAGTGGCGGCCAAACCAAAACGTGGCATCAGTCCTTGAAGTCACCAACTTCTAGTCTAAGCCATGTTGGTAGATGCAGACTACTTGGTTGGGGTCCGCATGACTATTGTAACCAGTGGTTGGAGACTCTGGGTGACATGGCTCATAATCGGTCACAATGACGTAGGTGTATCCACTCTGTCTTCGTTTAAACGAAGAGATTAAAATTGCTTCATATCTTTCTTTTCACGAACTGATTCTTTCTTCCTGCACTATGTCCTTATATGCAATCTTTATTTTATATTTGACCACCACCTAATTAACTACTTCTATGTTGTTATGCTAATGCGGTATGGCAACTTGGACCGATGCACATATGTGCCTGGTTCTACGTTGTAGCTGAATGACTGCGGACCTTAAGTGTCATTCGTTCGTTGCTCTTTTAATACGCAATTTTTGACGTTCCCCAAGGACATTTTTATACTGTACATCTACGCTTGAGTTGTGTGCCTGTTTGTTTGTGCTTCTAGCTGCTTGTGGAACATAACTTTTTCTCATCTGAACCTAGTTTTCGTCCTTTAGTTAGCTGGGTTGGGACGCATAGGAATAGTTTAGCTCGTCTGTCGTTGTATCGTCGATTCTTCGTCCCCGTCGCCGATTTTAGGTGGTCCCGTGATCTCTTCAAACATAGCAATAGTGAACTCTGAATTTTCCATGCTTCATTAGAGAGAGTGAAGACAATTCAGCGGAGAAAATTTTCATTTCGACATCATTTTTTAAAGCTGTACAATCGTTTTTTACATTAACCATAAATGCCCTTGTACAGCATAATAAAATTATATTGTCGAAAGTGAACTTTTTTCTCCGAAATGTCTTCATTCTTTTTAGTAAATCAATGGACTTCTTTTTTAAGTTTATTAGGGTAAATCTATTCTCGATACTATTAACTTCGGCCTTTAAAGTTATTAGAGTACAAATGTTAATAAACAGATTAATAGTGTTGTTTGTTCATCGTGATATGAAATTTGATTTTTGTCATATGACATCTTACAGAATGATCGAAAGTAAAGACATATAACGACCGATTTACTTCGTGAGATTTAAGAAGAATATACATCTTAGTCGGTGCAAAAAGAAATTTTATTGTGAGTAGACAGAACAGTCTAAATAATCAAGTGATATATCTATCTAAATCTGATAGTTTGAATTGTGACTTTTGACCGGACAACTTGATATATTGTTTCTTTAAAGTTAATAAATAGGCAGAATGCAAATAAAAAAGTATTGTATCAACTGAGAGCATTCAACATCCTTAGACAAGTAATTTATTCCGTACACACAAGTTATTATCTATGACAATGTAACTTGTTTTATATTTCTATCTTTTGTGAAAGCAATTTACATACTTGGTTTTGTAATTAAATGTGAAATTTCGTTTGTTTGTGCATTTCACTCTGGGTTAACTGACATTGCTACATTAATAGTGCATGTTTCATATTTTGATAGAGATCACATATAAATTCACTGAACTTCACATTGATTAACTGATATGAAATAAAGTCAGAGTTTCAGTATTGATGAATTGTGCATGAAACCCAAAATCCTATATTTCATTGACGAAAGAAGTTATAAATTCCAACAGTCTAGCTATTCAACACTCCTTGAATTTATGTATCTCTTCATATTACTCCATTTCATGATGTCTAACTGGTTTTTTCTAAACTTAGTATTTAAACGATTTATTTTACATATGTCAATTTGTGAATATTCTCTCAATGCTAATCGAAAGCAATCGATTACCAAATAACTAGCGTATAACCATTATTACATTTACAACTACAAAGTGACTTTTTTGTATTCCCCCTTCAATTATATGTCAGATGACATGGTTGAATTATTTGATTATTATAGCTGTCAAATAGTAAGTCATTTTCATTTTTCTCAATGCCAATTTATATGGCTGTCTGTGATGTTGTTCAGTTTTCTTCTATTATGTTGTTTTTATACTATCAGCAAATTTACCAGCTAAGTTCAAGTGAATAATCGAATATTATAGTAATAATAATAATAATCACGATTGATCAGTACTGATTTTTACCAATCAGACTAAATTTCTTTTTCTTCAAAAATAGTTTATATAAAAGATTATGCGTGATTATAGAAATTTATTTCAGAATAAGTTTTGTAAAATCTACGATTTTTAAAGTTCTCACTAAATGATCGTAAGTAAAATGTAATTAGAATTTTCTATTAGGTCACTTTTTTGTGTTTTAACAGTAGTAGTTATCGATCCTTCCAGTTCAATAACTTTAGTCTTTTTATAAATATTTTGGCAGACAACTATAAGTTTTGTTTATTACCCTGAAGAAGTTCAGTCAAGTTAGTTGGACGAAACGTTGGAATTATTTAAATTTCAATCGCTGAAATCGTTTCAAATATAAGTTTCACATATCATAAGTTATATAGTTTAATTTTCCTGTAATAATATGAAAATTTCAAAACATTTACAATTTTTTTAATACTTTATTGAGATATAATTTCTGTTTTTAAGATAGTAGATACAAACCATCAGAACAAGTATCCTTCCGAAGCAGATTTTGCCAGTGGTATGTACGTCTTGTTTTCTAAATTTCACATTTTTGTAAACGTTTAATTATATTATTGTCAATAAGTTTTATCAAAGAGTTTTAAAGATTAAAAACACTGAGAAATAAATTGTTTTAAAACTACTATTTTATTTTGGCTTAAACATCTACGTTAACATGCCTTCTTCACAATTAAATGGCTGGCTAAAGCCAACAAAATATAAAATTTCAATTTTAGAATCTTTAATTATCTAATCGTTCTGACACTCTTCTTTTCGTAAACTGTATACCGACTCGGCACGAGGTTGTTGATGGTCTTACAAGCTGAGAGTTATAACCATTTTCCAGTTAGCGTAGGAAGCTGTTTAAATGTATTCGTAGTTGAAATTTTGACTCGTATTTAAAATGCTTTATTAGTAATCTTAATTGGGTAAACTGCGCTACCTCTTCAAAATGGTTAGGATTTATATATTTCTTTACTTTCTAGATGTTTCATTCACCGGTTTGAAGATGCCTAATTTGTTTGAAATATGAGTGACTGATCTATAAACTCCGACCGTAATCAACTCACCTGATCAATCCTTCTTCATTTTCATAATAATGAGTATACAGAAGAGCAGCTTGTTCATGAAGTATAGATTACATGCAAATTTTATTAAAATCATTTTATACTATATCTTCATCTCTACTGATTTCTCAAATTTTCTTTATATACTCGAGTGATGTAAAAGCCTCTATGCATATAGTCTGCTTACGAGGACACAGACTCAGTACTAGTACCATTTATTTTTATGATGTATTTTATTTTTTTTATTTTTATTTTTAACGCATAAGCATTTGTACAAGGAGGCAACAAATACATATGCGCCATACGGAATTTCAATTGATTTGTGTGAGGGCTGTGATACTGCCCGGGTGCCCAAACCGAAGCAGGTGGTTCTCTTAGGGGGCCACACCCCGAGCCTTCGACCTGAACGTCTGACCCACAAGGCAGTGGAGCATCGTAAGGAGATGCATTCCCATGGTAGCCGGTGACCAACGATTGGTTCATACTCCATTTGTTCCTTCAGGATACTGGAGCCCATGTGCACCATTGGTTTGGGATCCGGTTAAAGCGCCAGACATTCGCTTTTCATCCTCTCATTTTCGTAAACAACACCCCCACCACGTGAAGGCAGTGAGTAGGACTTCCCTGGTAGAGGCTATGTACGCGTGGCCATGTGAGAGTATTTCGAGAGGGAGAGCGGACTCTCCCCACTCTCGACCGTACCAGGGCATTTGGGGGCTTTTATGATGTAACGTGTATTTATAGACAAAATATTCACAAGAAAGCACGCACATATACTTCGTAAATTACTGTCTTTATTTATTAAAATAATTATGCTGCAAAATAAAATATTGATAAACGTAAACTTTTCTGTTTAAAACTTAGTTGATAATCGTTTTCATATTATCATTATCTTATATTTATTTGATTGACGTGAATTTACTGAAGATATCAAATGCCTAATACTTCACTGTGTTTTACTCAATAATTTAATATACGATTGATAAAAATAACACTTGTTAAAATGTCATCAGCAATTTTAGTTTTTGTTTTTATGTGTCACTCGCTTGAAATAGTAACATTGAGTGAACAAGGTCTAAATCCATTGCATTTTATTGGATAAAAAAATAAGCCAGCTATGACGATTGTGATCATGTACTGATAATAATGTTTTTGATGTGTGTTAATAATGTTGAGTCTTTGAATACTTCAACGTGTTGCATACTAATTAATAAGTGTTAATTAAGGTAAGAAATAAAGGTCAATGATATCCCCAATGTCAATGTTTAGAGATTATATGGTTTTAATTCATTACAATGGGATAGATGCATATTCGTCTTATTTATAAATACCATGTTATTCCACACTTTATTTCTCATCTGTACTTCGATTTGTCTTTATCGTAACGTGTTCTATAACATTTTGCACTTTATTTTTTGATAAATATTTTCACATACAATGAATCAAAACATAGCACTCTAGAATGTTGTGCGATTTTGTCAGGTTTTATCGAGTTCTTGACCATTTATTTCTTTTTATAAACAAATGCAAACTTTGTTTAAACACGTCGGAAGAGTTCCGAAAATGATAAGCGTACAGTGAATTCCGCTTTTAAACTATTATCAAGAAGCTTATTTCTCAATACATTCTATTCTCTTTTTTTAGATTGTTCAATGACTAAATACTTTTGGAGTTCAATTCCACTTTGTTTATGTATTCCATCGTTGTTCCGCTTTCGAAATTATCGTTTACTTTCATCTCATTCAAATATCATAAAGATCAATGATGAAAATACTGATTATGATATCGTCAATAAAGAAAGAATAAATGGAATAAGATTTTCAAATAGATTGTCATCATTTGGATGCCCACAATTTTTACAAGAATTCACTTCAAATTTTAAAAAGTTATTTTCACCGAAATTATGGAAAAATCCCAATTTCTTATTTTATGTAATAGCTAATGGTATAACGGGTGCTGGAGTTGTCATACCATGGACATTTATTTACGATCATGTTCTCACCACTCTATCTTATTTGAATGATCGAAATTCAATTGGAGATATAAACAATCAAGATATTTCTTGGCTTCCATCTTTAATTGGATTCGGTTTGCTCTTTGGTCAGTTTTAAGCAATTAACTTTTTATATTCTAATTAGGAAATTTTTACATGAGCTAATTGAGTAGAGTTTTCATAAAACTGTTGATGTGAATGATAGGTTATCAATCATTGACTTGACTTTTAGGAGTAAAATGACAGTTCTTTACTTCTACGACAGAGAATCAAATTATACAAGAAAACGTTCTCATGGTTAATGTGGATTCTACAAGATAAATACAATGCAGCCTAAAAGTGTTCATCCTGTTTTTAACATTTATGCCCTGAGATTTAGTTGAACATTGCATGATGTCAAATGCAAGCTCAGACATACTTTGTCGAACGATTTTCGATTTATTTATTTAGAACCTCAGACTTAACTTTATTCGTCTAACAGTTGTTGAGCATACGATATGGACATTGCATAAAACAGGTAATAAACGGATTACCTTTGTTTTCATGCCAGACATAAATATGGCTTATAGTTTCAGAAGTCTCAAAGTGTATGATGTAGATCAAACTGCCAAATTTCAATTAACCGGTTAAATATTATTTCTATTCGAAAGGGGTTTTGTGGAGAATTGGTAATTTCAATAGTTGAAATCATGAGTCAATTGAAGCTAAACCACCATGGAAAACCTGGAAGCACTGGACGGCCGTTTCGTCCTAGTGTGGGACTCCTCAGCAGTGCGCATCCACGATCCAGTGCTCCCAGGTTTTCCATGGTGGTCTGGCTTCAATTGACTCATGATTTCAACTAATGAAATATTATTCCATTAGATCTATTTGCTGTCATCAAATCAGTTTTGGACTCATGTAGCGCATGAACTTACGTGTTTTAAAATTATATAAAATAGCTAATCATGTAATTTCTAAAACTCACCTCTGTTTTGTCAAACACAGTATCCTTAAAAATATTATCAGGAAACTGGTTGGCCGGTTGATTGATTGCTAGTTTCTGTATAAACAAAATCATTCCTATTGATATTTTCCTAAAGGAAAAGCATAACATAAAACTACCTATCAGGAGATTAAACAGTATTTAGCAGAATATTAGTTCAGTTGGTTTTAAGCAAGAAGCAGTTAAACATGGGGACGTATATATAATCTGTATGTTTGGTGATCTAACCGATTTCCGCCTAAACTAAAAATACTAGTAATGATGAACATCATGTAATTGATTATTCACTGCTGATTGTGGCCTGGTGGGTGATTGGAAAATGTGTATACTAAGTTGAAAAATTCGTCATTGTATTGTACTGTATTCGGCACCAGAAAGTTGGATAAAAGCTTGGTGCTAGTTTATCAATTTTTTGTAACTGTGTTTTTACTTACTACTGCATGAAGGAAAGTCTTTCAACTTATACTAGTAGTACGCTCACAAATCTTTTTCTTTAGCGAAAATTTTACATTTTTGATATTTGTCTACAGCCCGTTCGTTGTTCGCCCTACTGTCTACTATTTTAAAAGTAACTCTTTGATTACTTTTACTCCTTATTTTCTTTAACATTCTATCAGGTCAGTTGTTTTATGGTTTGATAACTTCTCAGTTTGGTGACATGGGTACCTGTTGTAAAAATAACAGTCAAGATTGCAAAGTTAAAAATGGTAGCTCTTGTCAACCAAATTGTTTTCAATCCGTCAATAAAAAATGTTTATCGTCAAAGTATAAATTTCATTTAGTAATCTTCCTGATAACACTTCTTTTCAATAGCGCATGTACACTAACTATAGCTTTAGTCCCATTATGGTCTATTCAAAGTGAATTAAAGCACTTTGAATTATTCTCGCATCAAGAAGGAAAACTATTAGCATTGGCTTGTTTTTTTGTTGGCATATCGAATGGTGGATTGTACGTCATGTTTCCACAGTTAATCATTGATATTGTTGGTGCTGAATTATGGTCTTCTGGACTTGGCTTATTTTTAACGTTTAACGGTCTTATGAATTTGTGTGGAACTAATATTGGAGGTAAGTTCTACTCGAAATATTTCCTAACTTTCAGTGTTCACCGATAATTTTAGATTTTTAGTAGGCTTTTGAAGTGTGTACAGGGTTTGCAAAATTATCAATGTTCATATGTTAATCAAACAATTTTCGTTTTATTCATAATGACACTGAAGTCATATAAGGTAATAACTAATCAATTTATCCTCTGGTTACAAATTTTGTCATTTCTTTCTTTATGATATGACGAATTCTGGAAAATCTCTCGAAAGAAATTGAATGCAGATATTCATATAAAAACATCATTTGAATTGTACTTCTGAGTCACTTGTGTGTTAGCTCAAAAAATTTCTAAGTATTTCAAGAAACTGTTTGTCAGTTAAGTCAATCGACTAGTCCGTAAAAATTGCTTTGAGTAAGAGGTCGTACAATTGAGCCGATAATTTATGAATTTTCTTTAATCCATCAACTTGTAACTACAAAATTTTCTACCTTCTCTTTGGATGTCTCATAGAGATACTCAATTAGAAAAATGAAAACTGAACTGAATGGTTTCTTCAATGAAGTGTTTTGTATTGGCTAATATCACTACTATTTTGAAAAGGGTGCACAAAATTAGCTTTTGGAATCTTAATAAACGATAAATTGGGTTATCGAGTGACAATTTAGAACTCAATATAATCTTGGTCGTTTCACTTGTCTACTATTTATGTTGGCTGCTTGAGCGATTCTGATCAGTTAGCTCTTTACTTTCTTCTCCTTTCAAACGGATATTAACTTATCTCTCTAACAAATATTGTGTTAATAAATGATACAGTTTATGCTTGTATTTACATGGTCACCACTTAAATATTGCGATAGGCAGTTGCGAGAATAACACCAGGCTCAGAGATGACGACTACGTTTGGAAACATAGTGAAAATGTCCATGATAACTTTAAATAGCTAACGTGAGTATTTACAAGAAGGTACGTTAGATTCTGTTTAAGAAAGAAATCATTTTGACGATTTATCGTGTTAATTGATTTTCGTCAATCACACATAGTAATACAAATTTACTGATGGTGTATTGTTTAAACAATTTATATACCGTAACGTAGCCCAGTATTTCTACATTATAAATATGTGAATTTTAAGTTTATTACTATCATTATCAAAGTCTGAATTCATGAAAACGCTAAGAGTACACATTTTTAGATACAACATTATTTTACATCGTTTAACATCTTACTGTAAATACCTCCTTCTAACTAGGATACCTACTAAATATTAATAACATTATATGTATATATTTTCTCAAAAACTTAAGTGCTTGAACAGTTCGACCTGAATAGTTAAAATGGTAACACTTTAAATCTCTGTTAAATAAATATTTTCGCATTAATCATTTTAAATTTTTCACGTTTTTTCTAAACTTATTTTGTTTGACATTTTCATAAATCTTTTATTTTTTCACAGGCAAAATATATGACACCAGGTGTTCATATCAAATGGCACTTTTAATCGCCGCATTTCTGCCGCTATTTGCTTTTCTTTTGGTCGTCATGAAGGAGATATTCACGTGGTTAATGAAGAGTTCTACATCATCTGCTAATTCTGATTCAGTGCAAAGACAAATTTAAATATGATATTTATTCTAAGAATTTAAATGACGTTTTATTAAAGTCCCTTTTTATAGCTCATATTGTTTTGTTCACTAGTAAACTATTTTTGGTTACATATTTGCTTACGACTGGAGGAGCATAGGTTGCCAACCAGGATCCAACCAGCTTTCTTTTAATGTAAATAAATAATACATTTGTAATATCCCAATCAGTAGAAAATTAGATTTTCTACTCATTGGGATATTACAAATATATTATTTATTTTTAACAATCAACCCAATGCTCAATTTATTCGAAATTATCAAATCAAACCTTGGTAATGATACCTACAAACTCATTTCTTTTAATGTGTTCTTTGGTCTGCCTCTGTTTCATTAACATTCAGGATTCTAAATTAGAGCTTGTTTCGTGGTGCAAATTGATGGTTTCTCCATTGTATTTCCCATCCGCCTCCAGCCTGTTTTCCTAATTTTCTCTTTGACTGCAAGCTGATTTGTTTTCTTCCACAGCAGGCCATTGCTGATGGTATTCGGCCAACGGACATTGAGTATCTTTTGTAGACAGTAGTTTATAAATACCTGTATTTTTGATGATGGTTGTAGTAGTTCTCCACGTTTCAGCTCCGCACAGTAGAACTATCTTGACGTTCGTATTGAAGATTCTATCGTTGATATTGTTTGACAGTTGTTTTGAGTTCCATATGTTTTTCAATTGTAGGAATGTTGCCCTTGTTTTGTGAATCCTTTCCTTCATGTCTGCATCAGATCCTCCTTTTTCATCGATGATGCTGTCCAGGTACATCAGAGTCTCCACATCTTCCAGAGATTCTCCTTCAAGTGTGATTGGGTTGGTGTTGTATGTGAGGATCTTGCTTCTTCCGTTGTTTATGTTGAGGTCTGCTGCTACTACACTGGCTATCTTCACCTGTATTTGTTGGCGTGTATTGGATAGAAGACCCATTTCATCTGAGAAATTTAAATCGTTTAGTTGCATCCAAGCTATCGACTCTATTTTTGCTTTCCCTGAGATATAGAGGTATACATAGTCCAGTCTGTCTTAAGAAGGAGAAAATGCTAGAAAAAGCAATCTTGTCTGACACCGATCCTCACTTGGAATGTATCTGTGAACTGTCGTCCATGAGCGACTTTGCAGTGTAGTCCGTCGTATGAATTCCGGATGATTTTAACAATCTCCAAGGGTACGTCAGTGTCAAAAAAATTCTTGTTGACACCATTGAATGCTTACTCGTAGTCAGTGAAATGAATGAATCGTAACGGGTTCCACTAAACTGATTGTTCAACGATGGTCCGTAGTGTTGTGCTTTGGTTTGTGTGCGATCGATCCTTACGGAATCCGGTTTGTTGATCCACTGAAACCTTCATTCGACTGGACAATACTCTGCTGAAAACCTTTCCTGGTACCGATTGTAGTGTGATACCTCTGTAGTTCTTACATTCAATCAGATTTCCATTCTTCTGTATCTTGATGAGGTGTCCTTTTTCCCAGTCTATCGACACCCGCCTTCCCTCACAAATCTTCCTGAATAGAACGTGCAGTATTTCTGACTTCAGGGCTTTATCTGGTGTGTTGTCAGATTCATCTGCTTTCCCACTCTTAATTTGTCTGATGGCCATCCAAATTTCTTGGATCATTGGTGGACTGACATCTGCAGGAATGTCTGTAGGTGCTGCTCCGATGTCCGGTAGATTCATTGAAACTGGACTTTCCAAGAGTTCCTCAAAGTATTCTACCAATCTGTTCTGTTCTTTAATCTCATTGATTGCCTTGCCTTCTTTACACTTTATCGGTCTCTCTAGTTTACCATATTTTTCTCTTAGTTCCCTCGTTGTGTCATAATGTCTCGAATTTCTTCGTCTTGCAGATTTTTCCGCCGTCGTTGCTAGGTCTTTAACGTATTTTTGCTTGTTGTCTGTAATGCTCTTCTTCATTTGGTTGTTTGCTTCAGCGTTCTCAGCTTGTCCCTTGACTTTATCTTTTCTTGTTTAGCTGTTGTTAATTGTTGCCTTATTGTTCTTCCCTTCTTGAATTTAGCGCAGGATGCCAATAAATATTCGTTTTTTTATGATGGTACTTCTTGTGGCTCTGCGCCTCCTGAAATGTTGTTTTGACCTCTCCAGTTGTCATTCATAGTAGATCGTTTTTGAGAGCTATATTTAATTCTAAAGGTTTGTCAGTATCTCGAATGAAGACGGTATTGAATCTTTGCATTGATGTTTCTCCAGTCGTCCAGTGCTTCTAGCTTTAGCTCGGTCTTGGCAACCATCAGATGGCGATCTGAATCTATATCAGTTCCATTCCTGGTCCTCATGTCCTCCATTTACCTGAATTTCGTAATGATGCAAATATGATCTATTTGATTCTTTGTGATTGGGTGAGACCCATGTAGCTTTGTGTATGTGTCTGTGGGGCAATGTTGTGCTGCCTATAACCATTTTGTTGATTCCAGATGAATTAGCATATCTCACCATTCTCATCCCTTTCTTCCAGTCAATCCATGTCCTCCTATGCATCTTCATACCAGTTATTGTCATTTAGATCTGTTATCGTTTAACAAAGATATTGGAAAGAGATTTTAAATAGTGTTAAGTTACAAAGTGTTTATATGACACGTACCCTCTGATCATCCATTTGCATCTTGCGGTGTGTTTACAGTTGAATCTCTCGTGCCTTTCTGAACAGAATTATTTCAGCTACCTAAGTGTGCAAAGCACTTTCTTCGTGATCAAAGCATAACAACTATCTCGAGGCTGATAATTCTGTCTAGCTCCGGCCCAACAGGTTCAATTTATCCTGAAGACTGATATTTTGTATCTCTGCATTCCCACAGCTATTTCACTGCTCTTCTAACCCTCCAAATAGTTCAGATTCCATGTACCAATAATAAGCTTTGCACTTCCTGTTATAAGCGAAATTTACCTCATGACTTCTGGAGAATCTTGGCTATCACTTTGAGACTTCCTAACTCGTCTAAATCAGTGACCTTGAGCTTTCAGGTCAGAGCCCAAATGATTTTTCGGATTATCGTTTTTTGAACAAGGTTGTTTTCTACGTGGTGGGGTTGCTATCTTGTGGTGTTTGTATGAACTAATTATTTTGAGTCGCAAATACAATAAATTTGTTCGTGCTCATCTAATACTTCTCTGTTAAAGTGCGTTATTTTTGGAATTCCTAGTTTGTACTATAATTCAAATACTTCGAATCATCACATTGATGTCACGATGGTGCCTGTGATGAAACAGTTGGACATTCGTTCAACCTCTGAAGGTTTCGAGGATTGTTTGGAAAGGATTGAAATCTGAAGCATGAGCAAGAAAGATGTGTAGGGTGATAAAATTGTGGCACATTTCCTCACATTCATCGGAAAAGAAGCTTACAGTTTATTAAAACCTTTGGCATATCTAGAAAGGCCTATCTCACTTTCTTATTTAACTCTTAAGGAACTACTATTAAGTCATGTAAAGTTCATCAGCTCTAAATGTCTTCTGAGAGTAAACTTTCATAAGATGATTCTCCAGAATAATCAAAAGGTTAGGTAATTCATCCTCGAATTGCAGAAACAACTTACCAAATTTCGGTGATCAACTTCATGTGCAACTGAGAGGTCGATTAACTGCAGGAATTAGCGTACCGGGTCTGGGAAGTGAGCTGTCAAGAATGACGAACTGATCCTTTCAAGATGCTAGAAGTGCATGTATTAACTACGAGGCAGTGAATGAACTTGATATCCAGTCGACGAAAATTTCTAATACTTTGTCCAGTCGTCATCAGGAAATGCAATCTCAGGGTTGACCAAACTTGCGTTCGTTTAATAGTGATTCCTATCCTCGTTTAGATATGAAAGATGGTTCAACAGGGACTCACAAAAGTGTGACAAATCTCATTCTCGAGATTCATGTGCATTTCGTAATACTAAATGTTTAAATGTGCTAAGACAGGACACATTCAGTCGATATAAAAAACTACTGTACATTTTGCTTCAAGTATTACTAAATCTTGCAATTTAGGTGTCAGTAATTCGGCTGTTGCTAGTGATCATTTGTGTTTGTCCACCATTTTGAAAGATAATGCTCATGTTCGAAAGCGATTATATACATACTTTTGTAAATTTTTTGACTTGAATGTATATACAGAGGGCATAGAGTTCATTGTAGATCTTTAAATATTTAGATACTAACGTTGTGGTAAGACCCACTGAACGCTAATCTGAAACATAAAATTCATGTTTATTTTTCAAAGCGAGATGAGTTATTCACTACTCCTGATGGTAAATCTGTCCTTGAAGATCTTCAAAGTGTAGATTTAAGTATTTAGAAAATAGAGTCCTTGGCAAGGCTCACTGGTCTTTGACCGGACTTAAATGCAGATATATGTCGTACGAAAAACAATTATGAAAAATTTCATGAGTGGGTGCAGACATCTTTTCACTGTTTCCAAGCACTCTTGTTCTAATACTCAGGTAGAAAATATTGTAAGGACATTGAAGAGACTCAATCAAAGCTATTAGAAGGAGGAATTCTTCGTCCGACTATGAGGTGTTTGGAGTCCGCAGAAATTACATATTATCGTGGAAAAGATCTTCGACCAACCACGGGGGATTGTGGTGAAGAATGTCGATAAATCTGTGGTGTGAATTCTAGATATTAATGACTTAGGTATATACGACCGATGGTTTGATCGAATACAATTCCAGGGACCAGGTGAGTCTGTTCCAATTTTGGTTGACATTTCTAATACTAATGAGTACATTCCAGATAATACAGGATCTACACCTAATACACTATCGGACAGAAACAGGATAGACTTGACGAGAAGACCTATGATCGATTTGGTCCGCCGTGGTGCTTGATACTTGTGTGGTTGCGCCACAGGATTGAGCTGCACTATTCAGATTGTAGCATTAAAGCCTATACAGTGTCTAGTTCTCCTGTGAAGCGGAATAGAGCTCTGCTGGTCAGTTTATAAAATTTAAGCCTGGGCGGTGTCTGACTCTCCTTTTAAGCGGGATTGAGATGTACTGTTTGAGTTTTCACGTGAAAGTCCGGACGATGTCTGGTTCTCCTGAAAACCAATGTAAAATGGCCCCAGTCTACAATGGTATGCTATATAATTATGAAACTATGATCTATAATCACTTACAGAAACTTGGATTTCAATTCAAGCTGTAGGTGATGTGTTTTTTGTATGAAATGATGATTCCTTTATACTCAATGACTGTCTGATTTCGAAATGCAAATAAAATACATTTGTTCGTACTCATCCTTAGACATTTAGACTTCTATTTGAGCCATGATGGATGTGGTGTTTGTATGAGCTACCGATTCCTTTGCACATCTTTAATGTTTGATTTAGAATTCCGAAAACAGCACATTCGCTTATGATTATCTAGTACTTCTTTATCCGATCTCTTTATTTCTTTGATTCCTTGTTCGTACTGTAATACTAATACTCCTATTTATCATGTATCTCGTTGCCCAATCATTCTTGTCCAGTATTGAGACCTAAGACAAACTTAGAGTGGCTACATAACGATGTTTTTTGGCAGTACATAAATTATGATTATAACAAATTTTGCCTGATCTCGCCATTCGTATTGTGACTCATGGTATTTATGCGTATAGTAATTTCATGTATTTGGAAGTCTTCGTCAATAAGATATCATGTAAACTTGTGCTGAAAGTGCAAGTGAACATAGTGTTCTTCTGCCCATGTTATTCTCGTTATTTCATATGATTTTTGGTCCGAATTAGTTGCTAAACATTTTATTTGTGTTCAGTCGTTTGTTGAGCGTTCAACGATGCATACTACTCACTAAATTGCTACGACAGTCCATCCGCTGGAAATATGCAACTCTTTAGAGCTTCTAGTTAATAAATCATTGCACACTTTAGTAATCTACGAGTCGTTTCATGTCACACGGATCCACATATAGCAAGGTTATTTAGCGTATCATAGTCATAGAATGCATAAATCGTCTCAGTGTTCAAAGTGTGTATGAGGGAGTTTTTGTGATCCGATGGAGTGAGCATTTTGACGGCACATATATCTGTAAGGTAATTTGAAAATATCTAGGCTCTTCCATAATCGTATTTTATTCATTAGATGTTGACTCTTTGCTTGGACCTTTGGCTTATATACGAGTATTGGCAAAGACAAGAGTATTAGGTTATAAACATTTACTTACTAGTTTGGAGCGGACACAGATTTTCGAAAGATAGAAGTACAGATGTATTCCTTTGCCCTACAGACATTTTTCTCCGATTTCTCTGATCAATGGTCTATGCCTCAATGGGATTACACAGTTCAGCGATAATCCGAAACAGCATTTCATGTGACGGCGATTTTTCCTAATTTTTTTCAACTCATAGATTATTTATATTTCGGAAAAGTGAGATTTTTCTTATTCGATATCAGTGTGTTTAGATACGTCGATTCTACGTTCAGGTGCCCAAATGTACTTTTAAGGCGCTACTTACGGTTATGTGACTGGAATATGAATGAAAGGACGGACGGCAGTGATGTGGTAGTCACAATAGGAGTTTGTGCAATGGCAAAGAAAGCGATGTCAAAACCAATGAAGGAAATTTTGAGAAGAATGGACAAATTTCAGCACATTAAGATAATAATATTCGACGAGAAAATGATATTAGATTCACCAATAGAGTCATGGCCCATTTGTGATGCACTGGTCAGTTTTTATTCTGAAGGATTTCCTCTCAAAAAAGCTATTGCTTATTCGAAGCTTCGGAAGCCTTACCTTGTCAATGATCTTGAGTCCCAATACATTTTAATGGATAGAAGAAGGGTTTATGAGTGCTTGACGAGAGAAGGTGTTCCAGTTCCGAGATATGCATTTGTTGATAGAACATCAGAAAACCCAGTGAAAGTTGTTGAGCTTGACGATTCGATTGAGGTTAGTAATTTTCTTTAAAGATCCAAAGCGGATTTTACTAGCTGACTTTTCCGTTACGCCTTGTTTTTAAGTATGCTGTATTGAATAGCACTTCTTAATATTGTAGTGTGAGTAACACTATTTATTCTGGAATATAAGACGGAAACTGAAACTTAAGCGTTACTCAAAGGCCATTCATAAATCATAGTCCCGCCGGAATTTCGACTGGCGTTTAGTTATGCTTTTTTATTCGTCATGGCTTAGTAGATCATGTGTGAAGAACGGGAGTTAGCAGGGGTCGTAGGATCAGGTTTTGGAGCTTTCTGGCAGTTGCTATTAAACCCATTCATAACTTTTAATTAATCAGTTCTACCTCAAAGACATCAACACGCATAACCTAAAACTGGAGATTAACTTCTTGCCACTTTATTTTACATATTATGTATTATCAAAATGGGTTTAGGATTTCCATAGTTAGCATGTTGTTTCCAGTCTGTCAAAGGTTTCTTACCTTCCCTAACATATCTGAGAAGAAATTTAAACTCATGAAACTTCAGTTTGAATAAAAATGTAAACATAATTGAAATATTAGTGTAAAATCTCGACCAGTCGTATGTATATTCACAAACGTAATTTCTCTTTACATGTATAGCTTTCGTTGGCAGGACAAACCTTGATTGGATGTAGTCAACCAATTTTATTATTGAAGGCTAGTTTCGCTTCACGCTTTCATCTAATATCCTTCTATATAGTTCTAGTTAGCCAGGTTTTCATAACTTAAGGGAATCAAAAAGGTAACGCTTAAATAAGTCCTGGTAGTATTGATTGGTTTTACTTGATAAAATATATGTTTTAGATAGGATGACGTCTAGTAAAACTGTCGTACGACATTATGTCTAGTTTCTTTAATATGTGTACCTAGTATATATATATATATATATATCGGTATGTATTACCTTAACTAAAAGTTGGAGATAGTTTTGGCGGTCTGTGCTCATATTTATTCCGTCCGACCATGAATAAGCATCTAGAATTCTTGCAACCTAGCTGACCCATGCGTTCTACTTGATTTAAAGATGAATTGCATGTAATTAGCTTTTTGATTTTTTTATGGTAGGGTAAACAACCATAAACCAACGCTTAGCTTAGCACACGTTATGGAAGTGCCTTTATTCGCGTTTTCGGTAACAACGTCTTCAAATCAGTTATTTTTCCGTGTTGAGCCTAGTCGTATGCAAAATTATTGCAATGTTTTGATCAGTTTAGCTTAGTTTGAAGTAAGTGGATGAAAAGAACCACCTCATAAATTTACTTGTAAAATATCAAGAAGTGATTTGAATATATTCATTGTGTTCACTTTTTATTCTGTCTACTCTGTTAAGAAAACATCTTTTATTGTTTGTTGGGTAAAGTGTTTTGGTTTATTCTGGTATTCCTTTATTAGATGTTTAGTAGATAGCTACTGAATATTTTATGTGGGCTGTCAGCAGCACGAAATTTTAATACTTTTAGAAATTTTAATTGATCTGGTCAAGTTGTTTTGGTCATTTAGATACTTAGTTTATATGAAAATGTTGAGTAAGTTGATACGATTAAAACAATATAAAGTTATAATCTAGTTCCAGTTCTTGAACTCTGGCAATTTTAGAAGTCAATATTTTTGTGCAAACAATTGTCTGCTGTCCTTAAATATATCTTCGCCAGATTATTATCATACTAATAAGTTTTCCTAGCCTAGATTTGTCCCCAACTTTTTGAGGTTCCTCTTGAATCAAGTATAAATTTTTATTTTAGATTAATGGTGAGGTTTTTCACAAACCATTCGTAGAAAAACCTTTGCATGCTGAAGATCACAACATCTACATCTACTTCCCTAGTAGCGCTGGAGGAGGTAGTCAGCGTCTCTTTCGAAAAGTTGGAAATCGCAGCAGCAAGTACTTTCCACACAGTAATATTCGAACAAATGGGTCTTATATGTATGAGGAATTTATGCCAACGGATGGTACCGATGTAAAGGTATGATGACTTCTATGTATGGTGTGGGGTATTTCGTATCTAGACCGTCAGTTTGTGTATCTAATGAAGATAATTTAAACGCCATGACAGTTTTTTATTAGGTGCACTTCATTGTATTTTTGGCATGAATAACACTTTGAAGATGGTAAAGTCCTACTGTTTTGCGCTTATTATTTCGTTAACATTTGTCATAACATTTTATAGAAGAGATTTCAACATATCACTTTAACTTTTAACTAAGAAGTTTATCACAGAGATAAAAATTTTGTTCCAAGAATATTTTTAATAGAAGTTAGACCCATGACTAATTTTCAAACATTTTTATTTTGGGGGGTAAATTGGAAAATACTGCATAATACCTACTGTACACTTTTGTATACATTTATATTCATTTGGATGAATATGACTAGCTACTATGATAATTTCGTGTAAACTTTAGGATTTAGAGTAAGTTATGTGGTAACTTTTCCAGTGTAGCTGCAACCTCATCAGCAATAGGTCTCAATATACACAAAGGGAAAAGCAAGATTCTTCGAAACAACACAGCATGTACCAATCCAATCACAATTGACGGAGAAGCTTTGGAAGATGTAAAAACCTTTACATATTTGGGCAGTATCATCGATGAACACGGTGGATCTGATGCAGATGTGAAGACACGGATTGGCAAAGCAAGAGCAGCATATTTACAACTGAAGAATATCTGGAACTCAAAACAATTAGCAACCAACACCAAAGTCAGAATTTTCAATACAAATGTCAAGACAGTTTTACTGTATGGGGCGGAAACCTGGAAAACCACGAAATCCATCGTCCAAAAGATACAGGTGTTTATTAACAGTTGTCTACGCAAAATACTTCAGATCCGCTGGCCGGACACTATTAGCAACAACCTACTGTGGGAGAGAACAAATCAGATCCCAGTGGAGGAAGAAATCAGGAAGAAGCGCTGGAAGTGGATAGGACACACATTGAGGAAAGCACCGAGCTGCGTCACAAGGCAAGTCCTCACATGGAATCCTCAAGGTCGAAGGAGGAGAGGAAGACCAAAGAATACATTACGCCGAGAAATGGAGATAGATATGAGAAAAATGAACAAGAATTGGATGGAACTAGAAAAGAAGGCCCAGGACAGAGTGGGTTGGAGAATGCTGGTCGGCGGCCTATGCTCCATTGGGAGTAACAGGCGTAAGTAAGTAAGTAAGTAATGTAACTTTTAGTTGCCTTAGTAATACATATAAAAAAGTGATTGATTTTTTTCATCTCACTATTACTCCAAGTCACTAGGTCTAATCATAATCTTATTTTAATCTCTTATCTTAATTTAAGAGTGTCTTCTTCCGTGTACGTTCATAAAATTTATTTTCAATTCACCGACATCGTTACTGTGATTACTTTTGAAACCTCTTCCAGTTAATTTGAACCCTCATTCTAAGTCCTTATTTCAAAGAAGCTACTGAGTGTCTCATTTCTTAATTTCCAAGTATATGTAGTTAACAGTTTTTTTAATTATTTGACTTTTCTGGTCTCTCATAGCCAATGAAAATTCGAAAGCTCTTATTATTCAAACCTAAACATTTGCGCTATGAATGGTGCTTTTGGTACCAAAATCGGGATACAGTCGACTAGGAATAGCCTTATACGTTGTAAGCAGCATTTTAGTCTTTCGCTGCTTTTATGTTAAACTCCATCATGTAAAATTATGTGAGTTTTAAAGTTCGTTCGCATTTTATAGTCACTAGATCCGGAATTTAGTTAGTTTAGATATGGTGCTAGGATCATTGTTATATCATACAAAGCAATTTTAACGTTAACTCCATGATGACTTTGCTGTTGAAACCCACTTAGGTCTACACGGTCGCGGATGATTATGCTCATGCAGAGGCTCGAAAATCTCCTGCCTTAGATGGGAAGGTAGAACGAGATCACGAAGGTAAAGAAGTTCGCTATCCTGTCATACTAACACCTAGAGAGAAAATCATTGCCAAGAAAGTAGCAAAAGCTGTTCGGCAGCAAATCTGTGGATTCGATCTTCTTCGGGCTAATGGAATGTCTTATGTTTGTGATGTAAATGGATTTTCTTTTGTAAAGTCTTCCAAAAAGTACTATGATGACTGTAGTCACATTCTTGGTGTGTTAATTACTCGAAAAATAGCACCACGATTGTGTTTGCCGACCAACTTACCTCCAGGTACGGATGTAGATACTCCGCTGGTACCAACAACTTGTGGAGCAATTATGGAACTTCGTTGTGTAATCGCTGTCATTCGTCATGGTGACAGGACACCAAAACAGAAAATGAAAATGGAAGTTTGCCATCAGAAATTTTTCTCATTTTTCACTAAGTACGCTGGTGGTTGGGCTCGTGAATTAAAAATCAAACGTCCTACCCAATTGCAAGAAATTTTAGATATCGTGCGATCCATTTTGGAAGAAATTGATTCCGGCCAGTGTACTGATAATTGTCTTCTTCGAATAAAGCCAAAGTTTGAGCAACTAAAGTGAGTTCATATTTTATGAATGAAGTACATTACTTTTGTCAACAAACGTTCCCCAACATATTATTGTCCCACGACATAGTATGTCATAGTAAAAGTATGGATAGTTTTACATATTTTAGGGTACAATAAGTTGATTTATGTCAAAATCTTGGATGAATTTAGTATAGGATACAATGTTTTAACAATAGGAGAGCTTGTGGTGTTTTCAGATTGTCTGTCGCGGTGGAAACTACGACTCATTTTTTGTCTTATTCGGAACTCATAGTCTATATGTACCTCCAATCGTGTTGATGATGACACTGAAGCTCGAGCCTAGTAACTATGTCGATGAGTTACTAACTAAACTGGTGATTCCATGTAGTTCCCAAATTATGAATTACCGTTATTAATATTAGGAACAGGAATGTACAGACTCTCACAACTATATTTTGTTAATACTGTTCTTATCACTTATCGAAATCCATTATGTCTCTTTAGGCCCAGTTTATTTTAATTAGTATCCTAAACACTTATTAAACTGGTTGAATATCCTGATCATTCCACTTTCATAATCAGTCGTACTAGGCTACATTAATTGATGGTCGAGAAAATCGTAATGTGTATACATCGGAATTAGATGGTGATTGGAGGTAGTCGACAGGAAACCCTGGACCCGGGTTTCGTGCTACTTGGCACTCGTCAGCAAGGTGTACCTGTAATCTTTGAGGGAACTGGTGCTCCCTGGCGGATTCGATCCCGTGTCACCCAGCTTCACAGTCAGAGATGTTACCACTGAGCTATCCGGGCCGCGACCGACCTCCTGTAGGACTGAGATGTAATCACAATTGATTGATCACTGGGTGGTGACCAATGTCATGCTTGTCTAGTCCTTATTATTAGTGCAGATCGAATGCTATCGACCATGTTGCAATGTGGCCACCAGTCTAGGTGACTCGACACTGCGGGCACTATTGTGAGATTAGATGGTGATTGGAGGTAGTCGACAGGAAACCCTGGACCCGGGTTTCGTGCTACTTGGCACTCGTCAGGGAGCACCAGTTCCCTCAAAGATTACAGGTACACCTTGCTGACGAGTGCCAAGTAGCACGAAACCCGGGTCCAGGGTTTCCTGTCGACTACCTCCAATCACCATATAATCTCACAATAGTGCCCGCAGTGTCGAGTCACCTAGACTGGTGGCCACATTGCAACATGGTCGATAGCATTCGATCTGCACTAATAATAAGGACTAGACAAGCATGACATTGGTCACCACCCAGTGATCAATCAATTGTGAATACATCGGAATTGCCTAGCTTTTAATAAATTACTTCACCTGTAGATCGGTAAACGTTGAAATTCTCAATAAATACCAAACTCTTTGTTAAACCATTTATTCCATTTCACTACACGAATATAGAAATTTGCCGTGTAAGATGATAAAGATAGATAGGTCCTAGGAATTTGAAGATTTTTTGAGACGCTATGAAGATATGATCAAACTACAGTCATATGATTTCAAGCCAAAAGTACTGGTCAAGGATAATAAATAAGCCAACATGGTTATAATTATTTATTGATTGGAGTGCTTGAGTTGAACAGTCTTCAGAATGATGAAACCCATGAATTTACTAACGCTTGGTTTTGGTCCAAGAAATAATTGTGTTCGGTGGTCAAAGACATTTAAGTCACAATTTTATTGTTCTTCATAAAAGGAAATGGAATCACGTCATGAAATTTTTAGATGAACAGCATATTTCTAGATCTTGTGGAAGTGATTGTATGTAATTGTTACTATCGCCTATAAAAAAGATTCTCACTTGGATAGTAAAAGTAGATAGTTTAATTTATTATTAAATTTTGGTCACCACTTCTCGCTTATTATAAGTATTAAATGATTTTTTGATTTCATATTTTCTTTTACTTTATTACTAGATATGTTTTAGAAATGTATGGGTCATTTAGCGGAATTAACCGTAAAATTCAGTTAAAATATCAACCACATGGAATTGGTAAAGGATCAAAGATTGGTTATTCAAGTGAGCTTATGTGTCAGTTTTCTTGCATACCGCTTCATTAAAATGTGAACTTTGTTTTGCAATCGTGTTTATGCACTGCATATTTTCAAATTATCTGTATTGGTGTTTATTGAGTTAAAACCTCTAAGTTTCAGCTTTTTTGTATGCATTTAAAGCTTACGTATCGCATACCAATTTCAGCAACCATTAAGATCTCTAAATTTGGAGAAACTAGTACATCTCGATATTGCTACAGTCACAAGTTTTTTAGTAAGGTTCGACAGTAAGCTTCAACTTTGAGATGTAAGTACATCCAGTTAGTGAGTCAAAAGTATGACGTAACGCGCGTTCTTGATTGCGTCACTAGCCACTATTCAACTTGACTAAAAATATCAGTATCCGCATTCAGCGAAAATAGTCAGCTCTGTCCAAAATATTTCACAAAAGACTGTTATTCATGATATTCAGCACTCTATTCTCATTTTTTCTTCCTATTACAAATGAAACTATCAAAAAATTTTTATCTATGAAGTGTTCATGCCTTTTCCATGTGATAGTCTTAAATCTGTTAGCGATCTAAAGTATCAATTTTAGTTAAACAGTCAGTCGAAATCAACATAGAACATATCTAAATTAGGATGTCACACTAGGACAGCGAAATGAAATTATCGAGATGAATACCGAAATATTGAAAGTAGTAGAATCAAAAATAGTAGAAATGACTGACTATAAATAAAGTGATCCGGAAAGAAGAGTTTGGTTCACGGAGTAAGACGTAAAAATTAATTTTCAATCTCAAAATATGAAGAACGGATGCATCCCCACCATTGTGACCGAATCTGAGCAAGTGTTTTCCAGTATCTTCAATCATCAATCACGATTATTTTATTTTATTTGAACACATAAATATTGGTACAAGAGGGCACCAAATATTTATGCGCCACACAAAATTTTATTTATGTATTGGCTGTGATACTGCCCGGGTGCCCAAACCGAAGCAGGTGGTTTTCTTAGGGAGCCACACCCCGAGCCTTCGACCTGAACGTCTGACCCACAAGGCAGTGGAGCATCGTAAGGAGATGCATTCCCATGGTAGCCGGTGACCAACGATTGGTTCATACTCCATTTGTTCCTTCAGGATACTGGAGCCCATGTGCACCATTGGTTTGGGATCCGGTTAAAGCGCCAGACATTCGCTTTTTATCCTCTCATTTTCGTAAACAACACCCCCACCACGTGAAGGCAGTGAGTAGGACTTCCCTGGTAGAGGCTATGTACGCGTGGCCATGTGAGAGCGTTTCGAGAGGGAGGGCGGGCCAGCCCTACTCTCGACCATACCAGGGTATTTGGGGGCTTTGTCCTGGTTTATCCAATTCTAGTTTTTTTTTTCAGTTTATTCCTACTCGGGGCAATCTTGTGCGTCGAGGAAAGCGATGCTTGTTTCAATTGAGATGGTTTTCCGTGATTTGATGTAATCAAATTCTGGATTGTTAAAATCAATGGACGTAATGTTAATCGATTGATGAACGTAATGGTATAATGTGGCCTAGTGATGGCTACCTTCGAAACCGTAGTATTGAATTAACCCACCAAATAATCAGAAATCCAATGCAAGACCATTAGCCAGATGAATAGTTTTTCATGAAATAAAATGACTTACATACTGAATATGAACACAAAACAAACATGGTAAAATGTCATAGGTGGTTGGACGAAACAAATCTATTGGTCACTTATTGTTCAATCAATATATGCCTAACTGTTAGGTCTAATGTTTGGGCATCGTATCAGCTGGGCATACATATATCCCAACCACTTCAGTTGGATATCCACAACCTCATAAACTGGTTTGCCTTTTTTACTTAGTACTTTGTGCCTAACATCAACATTTCTCACTTAGTTATTCCACGATTAGCAACCAATGCTTGAAAAACACCTTTTCTACCAAAGTATCTCGGCTAGATTACATTTTTTCAGACACATTTTGGTGGAGAACGACAATCGTTAAAGTTAGCACTAGTTCAGTAAAATACATTTTGAACTGTTGATCTAGACTATATATAACTTTCGTGATAACATAACCCGCTTGGACGGTTAGTAGCCATAATTTGGATTTAATTTGTTGCCTGGTATTTAAAATCTTTTGAATTTAGAATTACTATTTTCGTCTTATTCATACATCGTTTCTTTTCTTATCTATTTAAATAATTAACTAATGGAGGCATAAGGTTTAGAGGTCGATACTAATGACTAACCTTTTCTTCTGCGCAATACAATGAGTATACTGAAGTGATCACTTTTGTTTTCTGTAAATTTCTGTGTTCACTTTAAATGTTTTAGTGATTCATCGAGTTATTTATATAAGCTAAATATCTTTTCAGTAAGTAATATAGTTAGGGTTATGTCATTATGCAGAAGAAGTGGCTTTGATGGATTGTACTTCACATGTATTTGGTTTAAAAGAAGTCCATTACTGATGTAATTAGTTTACGACAGTATTTCAATAGAACTACGATTGTGAGTCAAAGTACTCATATCTACAGTGTCTGTTGAAAGTGGGTTGTTGAAAAAAGTAACTATGCTTACTGTTGAGAAACAATATCATATCTTGGTAACCATCATGTAGTACATGAAATCATCGCCATGTAAATGAACAAGCATTTATATTGATCATTTGTCAGAAGTAAAACAAATTTCCGAAATCCTCAGATTTTAGATGATCTTTTTTTCAGGTAGTATTCCAATATCATGTGACTGTACTGACGAATGTGACAACACCCAACCTTGCCTATTAGTTGTCGCGAAATGGGGTGGAGAATTAACAGCCGCAGGAAAGCAACAAGCAGAAACTCTAGGAAAAGCTTTTCGTTGTATTTACCCAGGTGGAGATGGCCATTATGGTAAAGATCCTGGTCTTGGATTATTACGTTTACACAGTACTTATCGGCATGATTTGAAGATATATGCTTCTGACGAGGGTCGGGTCCAAATGACAGCTGCAGCTTTTGCTAAAGGTTTCTTGGCATTAGAAGGGGAATTGCCACCGATCCTTGTTCAGATGGTCAAGTCAGCTAATACGAACGGTCTTTTAGATAATGATAACGATTGTCGTCACTATCAGCAGATGGTTAAACGTCGAATCAATGAAGTGATGTCAAAAAACAGCGATTTCACCGCTGAAGATATTGCTACTCTTGTTCCTACTGGCGCACGTTCTATAATTAATGCTATGCAGTATGTTGAAAGCCCGTATAGAGCATGTGGTCGCCTGTTTGAACATGTTCGTCTGTTATCTAATCGTCTTGCTTGGCTCTCACGAAGTTCCAAAGAACGCAGTCGAATACACTTGTATCAAGGTGAAAGTTGGGACCTATTGCTCAGACGTTGGGGAAAGCTATTAAAAGATTTTCGATCTCCTGAAGGAGAATACGATCTTTCTAAAATTTCAGATATATATGACAACATAAAATATGATTTGCAACACAATTCTGGCATTTTACTAGAATCTGAGGTGCAAGATTTCTTCATGTGTGCAAAGTCGCTAGCTGACATTATTGTCCCACAGGTAATTTGACATGTTTATAGCTATTATAGTGACAAAACTAGTGATGTAATTTAAGTTCAAGTTTATATTATGTAGCGGCGATAATTTAATTACAAATTACCTTAAATTTTCTCTCAGCTTTTACAGACTTGTATTTAATTTTGTATATATGAAAAAAGAAATGATAGTAAATAAACACAACATCAAAAAGAAATCGTATTTAGTAGGACCTCAGTAAAATAAATCAAGAATTGCAGTTATGTATTTTCTGTTGATCCATTGATGTTTCTCCTTCCATGAATTTTACGTTCTGCTGAATAACTTTACTAATTGTTATTTCTAGTAAGATATTGAAACTATCATCTACTGTTGCTTGTTGAGAAAAGAGATTTTTCATAATATTTCAATAAAACTTATCGTTTAGTTGGCATTCGAATTTGTAAATATAATTTGTTTTGGGATATCATTCTCAGTCAAAAACGATTGTCACTTAATCCCTAGGTATGAGACTGCGAACAGAATAGAGTTAATGCTTTTTACCGTAGCAATCTACAACCCTCACTTTGATAGAAATTTATTCAAATCTTCTTATTAAGGATAAAGCAAGTACAAACAACGCATCTTCAGGTGTTCACTCACTACTGAGATTGATGAAATTTGTTAATAACCATAATCATTTGCACGAATATTCGTCAAGATTAGAACGAATAGCTTGACAGATATTGGGCGCCGAGTATAGAGAAGTCATTATATATGTAAATTATATTTGAAATAATCTCAGCGATTGAAATTTAAATAATTCCAACGTTTCGTCCAGCTAACTTGTCTGGACTTCTTCAGGGTAATAATGAAAATCATCAAAGATGATTGGAATTATTTAAATTTCAATCGCTGAGATTATTTCAAATACAGTTTACATATATAATCATAATCATTTGCATTAAACAGTTTTAATATTATCTTTTTTGACTGTTATTAGGTGAACCGTTTGGCAACATCACTATTTCATATTGATTTCATTCCTTCCTTTGTTTTTTCTAGAAATGTAATCTCTAAATGAACAATAGGCTATAATATGTCACTTTGTCTAAACAGAAAGGCCTTATAATATAGAGCATTAAGAATAAGTGCATTTGCTTAAGTTGTTCCAGTTCTTAACAAGGCAAAAAATACTGTTAACAATAAGAGAATGTTTGATAAACTGTAAATTAAAAAGACCATGAGCAGATAAGGAAATATTGTTCACTCGTCAGTTTAATCACACATGATATGTTCTGATGACTTATATTCAGATACAGTTATTCTTATGTAGTTTACGATCAGTGACTTAATCCCATAATTTTTGAGTATCATAGAGCGGACTGTTGCACAATGTGTTCGTCCACAATCGGAGTTTAGATGTCGTCTCAATACAATAAATGACGAAGGTTTATTTTCGTTGTTAGAAATAATTTATCGTGTTTCGTACGAAAGCGGACTTCATACCAATTCTTTGAAATTTTTGATCAAACTAATCTGAAATAATTGTTTTATGACTATCACTGTTATTGTCTTAGTTACATAGTCATTCAGATGAGACTGTTACTCTTGACGTTACCTTATTCAATACCATTTTTGTGTTTGTCTTCTACCGTTCCTCGCGTACCAGAAAAAGTGTTTATACTTTCTGTTTTCCTTATCTTTAGGAATATGGTATAACAAAAGAAGAAAAACTAGTGATAGGTCAACGTATTTGTACTCCACTTATGCGAAAAATTTTATCAGATGCTCGTTATACAGATGTAGATGAGTGTACACGGTTGCATGCTGGGTGAGTATTGTTCTTCATTATGTATTGATTTTTTGGTGCATTCAGTAACATTGTAACATCTTAATTATATCATATTTACACATTTTTATGTCTTTAGTATAATTTGAATGAAATGATGATTCTAAGGCTTGACCTTATTCTCACTTCTATAAATAATTATAGACTTTATGAATGTGTCCTCTATGGTCCTGTGAAGCTATGATTCACTGATACAAAATGTCAATGATCAACAGTTTTTGGTTCTCTTCCACTTTCAACAGCAGAGTTACTAGTTAGAAACTAATAATAGTTGTATTAAGAATAAAATATTTATAAAATTCTAATAAGTGGGGAATTGAATTGCTGACATTTCGTAACTTCGTGTGTGCCACTTTTTTAAAGAAGTAAATGAAATAAATTAACAAAAGTCTCGGTGATACAAAGAATATAAAACACATAAGTTTTATTATAATCAAAATAGATCTGTTCACGTTAATATCATGTCATTTCGAACAAAGTGATTTTGTGTGAGACCTGCCTATTTGTAGGTTAGTGTATGGGAAAAATATATTTCTAATGTAAAAGAGTACGGTTAAAAATATTTGCTCCTGACACGAGATATGAACAGAATTGACTGTTTGGATATTTGAATAAATGTTTTTTTTTGAAAGAATATTCAGGCCTTCCTGACTATGAAGCACAGGAGGGTTTGGCATTTCATAAAAAAACTTCAGCTACGACTTTCTTTGCATTTGGAAAAAAACATTTTAAAATTTGTATTTTTACGTATGATTTTATGAATGTCATGATTTTTGTACATATAAAAGAAGGTTGAATCAACGAATTAGATGTGCTAAAACGGCAAATTGAAGGTCCTTTAAATAAGTGTAGTAGGACATTTATTACTATTTTCCAATTTCTTTCGTCTTCTAAATCATTCATTTATTGGAATGAACTTCTATAAATCTCTTTTTCTTGGTTATATCAGTTTTGTTTAGTTTTCGTTCATTATAATAGGGTTTGTATGGTCTGTGTGATTGGAGAAAACGTTTTGTTTTGCAAATGAACTTATTTATTTATTATTATTTAACATTTTAAGAGATAGTTCAAAAGTATTTTGTTTACATTCATGGTGCACACTAGACTTTCTGTTCAAAATACGATATTTATCGGGTATATATTGCTGGTATTAAGGGCACATCAGAATGATGCATGTACCCGAAATTTTCAAATAGTTTAGTTTGAAAATTCTGTATACTCTTAATTTTATCACGCAAGACTATTATTATTATTATTATTATTATTATTATTATTATTATTATTATTATTATTATTATTATTATTATTATTTTGTAACCTCAATCTCGTCAATTAGTAATCACTGGGTTGATAGATTTTCGGGTTTCATTAAAATACCCAGAGTAGAGGTTGCTTGTTCAAAAACTTCCTGTCACATCCTACATAAGTTTAAAGACCATTCCCATGAAAATGTATTACTAATAGTGATAATAATAATACTTAAAAGATTTCATGACATTTTTTAGGAATGGTTGTGTTGATATGATAAATCTTCGGTATGTTTATCAAGTTCTTTTCTGTGGTTCTTTATAAGAATATATTATAGCCGTGCTATATTTTCAAACAATAAATCTCTAACAATAACGAGTTGAAATCAACTGTTTATTTACTTGAGCCATCTGAAAAATTTTTGTAGGTGAGCGATGTGAGAGACGATTATGTAATCTTTCCATTTGTGTTTACCCGTTTAAAAAATCTTATATATACTAGATAATTCATGTGTATTGAACTGTTGTTTTGCTTCTGCTACATAAGTAAATTTGGAATTATGGTACTAATGTGGTTTAAATACAACATATTGATCCAGCGCACTGCTTTGAAGGAAATAAAAAACCGAGAAACACGATCAAAGGAGTACTTATATTTAAGATTACATCTGATGTAATATTATTCATGGTTACTTTAAGGTGTATACATATTCTGTAAAAAGCTCTTGTCATTAATTATGTTATTATAGTGTGATATTTAGCTATTAAAATGTTGTATGTTCTTTTAGGAATTTAGGGAGGCGACTATACTCACTCTTGATGATGAGGTAGTTACATATATTAAGAGTTTTAGTCTGTTAAGAGTGTCATTATGTAACTGGGCAAATGAATGATAGTTACTCGTCAATCTTGCTTCCAACGGTAGACTAATTTATGTCTGAGAATGCCTAATCAAGAAAAGATTTCTTGAGTTTTCGTCCTGTATTTTTCCATTTCAGTTGTAGATATTTTATTTCTTAAGTAATGGGCAGGTGTGTTTATACAAGAACTGTTAGTTTTTGATCCAGTTTATGGGACAGGATTAGTTTTGTCGTAAACCATAGGGGTTCGAGTTTTAGGATAGTCAGTTACTGTGTCAGTTTTAGATACTGTTCGAGTGAAATATCATCGAGCTCCTTTTACTGTTAGCTTATCAGGTAGACATGGGTTGGTGAAAATGGTAAAGCCAGTATTCAAGGATAAACCTTACACAGGTCTTGTACCGAAAGAGTCTAGAACTTTTCCCATAGGAATTTTGCTAGATAAAACTTAGTAATCGCCGTGATTTAGATACTTTAGTAGATTTATGTTCGGAGAAGTTTAGGCTAAAAAAGTAATTAAGTCCTAGGCCAGTTAAAAACAATTTTTTATTTAAGCAAATGTGATGTAAGATAAAGATCGATAACGGTTGAATTAGAAACTAATTATCATACAATTCTACTTTTAAAAATTTTTTCCTCTTTGATTGAGCATTTACATCATAACTGTTGCATAACAATCTGTTTAATGCCTATCTTTTCTATTGACAACTCTCAGTACAGTATTCTGCAGATTATTTGTTTGGAAATAGCATGTTATTCGTTTATGATCTGTGCCTATGCAAAAGTCGACCTTCTTAATATTACTTTTCTTCATTAAGCAGCTTAAATGTTATATTTCCAAATCTCGATTTGCAAACCACCTATTTTCAATTTCATTTCTCATCATCCAGCTTCGTTAATGACCAGCGTATTAAATGTCATACTTAAGAAAATATAAAGCATACTTACTGATACATCTGATGGCGTTGGAAATAAATCATTTTCGTGCCTTTACCGAATCCTGTATTCTACCGTATACTGTTGTAAGATAACATTAATTTGCTTGTATATATGTATTGTGACTATTTTTCTTGTTCCTTCCTTTTGTCTGACAGACTACATATCTGAACAACTTTACGTTCCAATAGTTTTTATTATTATAAACCTCCTTTTCCATCTCATTACTATATTCTCTTATCTCAGTTACAGAGTAGTATTTGTATACACTATTTCAGTCATTTCTTTATCTTATTCATTATGAAGCAGTATAACTTGTCAATTCCTATCGCTTGTAAAGATGAATAAATAACTGTAGCCATTAATTTGTCGAAATTTTCTTTTTCTCAAGTAATTTAGTGTTTTTTACAACAGTGTATATGATTTTATGCTGTTGAAACCATTGTTGTTCGATGTTTAAGGGCTTGTCTATAATTGAGTCATTTTTATAAATAATTTTCGTGTTGTATATCGTTTGTTTTAACTGCATTATTATCTGTAACAGCGTACTCAACATGCACCTTTCAGTAGTGCCATTCTGTTTAATTAATTCACCTCATGTTTGCTGTTGATGGTGCCACTAATAAATAATTACAGACGTATCGCGTCCTCTGTCGTCTTTGATATCACTAAAACTTCGCAAATCAGCTTGTTTACTGAATTTATCTCAACTATTTTAATATCAATCACTTATTGATACGTTGGCATAGTTTTTTACTCACATGGTGTGATATGGCTTCTTATGAACTATTTAATTTATTAGCTTTTGTCTTATATAGTTGTTAATAGTATCTTCATTGATACTTTATGATTGCTCAATTTACACTTTGGTTCCAGGTAGACATTATGCTGTTTTAATTTGGTTTAGCGAAAGTGAACTATTAAGTATGAGCTCTTGTTATTGGTTTATTTATTTTCTTTTCAAATTTATTCCACTGGATTGTACTCCTTAAATAACATCAAACCCTAATGTTCTCTATTACTACTTATATTTACACTACCTCAAACACTACGGGATTTGAATCGATAACTGAATCTCTGTGCTAATGTGGTATGGTAACTTGAACTGATGTACGTACATACGAAGTTCCACGTTGTTACTGATTGACTTTAAGTGATCATGTTGTTTCCAAGTAGAATTCCCTTCTTATCTGAGAATTTAAAATCTTAACCTCAGAAGGATATTTTTCTAATATTATTATTTCGGGCTTTACTAAGTGGTTTTTAATTTCGATTTCCATAAATTGTTATATTTCTATACTATCTCATCTTGTGTAACCATGCCTTTAGATCTAATTATACTGATAGTTGACTGTGGAGTTGTCAATATATATCTTACACATGATTTGATCTAGGTGGTTTTATGGATCGATATATAGTTTATCAAAAGTTATTATAGTTTGAAAATTTAATTATAAGGATTCTAGTCATGAGAAAACCTGATCACATCGGCTGTTTTGATATTCAGGCTCATTTCATACTTTTTTGTTATTTCCGTGCTCCGAATTCATAAGTTTTGAGTGAAGATTATAATGAATCCAAATTCATTTATCAAGCCATAGCAGTTTAGGGTACTGGTTTTGAGTCACAATTTACATGTAAGAACCAGCCATATTGCCAGGCTCTCCGAAGCCATACGGTTTAATGAAAGCTCGAACATGATACCCAAAAGTAAATGATTTCACCACATATCACAGCTCCATCTGATTCTCGATTGATATATTTGCACTAGACGGTAGAATATGAATGTTCAGTTATTAAATGCTGACTTAGCAAATGAGTGTCACTTGTTTAACTCCCTATTTAATATTTCTTGGAATTCTAACTGACTAAAAACCATAAATATTACGCATATTTTAACTGAACTGGTTCTTTATTGTCTTTGATTACGGTTCAACACATTGTGAGACAGGTATGGCTGGATAAACGTGACGTTTCCTTTATTCCCATGAATCTAAAACTTTCTTTGATTATTAGAGCTTTTTATGTATTAATGCTTACCCATGTGTATAGTTCTTGATTGAAAAAACGGTGTATGCTATCGTTGTACTGTACCCTGTAGACTGGTTAAACTCATGAACAGATGTTCATCACAAACCCTAGGAAAACTTATGATAACTACCACGATAATGCTCTTGTTATTAGGATCACTATGAAGGACTTTACCACTGGAATTTTCAGGTTTCCGCTCCACTTTTTAAAGGTGTATTAGCTTTTATCAAAAGTAACTCTTTAAATTACCATCGACCGACTTTAGGCATAGACGACTGGCGGAGTTGAGTGTTCACGCTCATGACGACTCCCGTTTTAAGAAGAGAGCTGGCTAATGGCTCTTTGTTTTCAGTGGTTGTTTAACTGAATCCAGTTATGATGTAGAAATGCAAATCCAACAAACTCTACGACCACTCCTGTGCTACAAATTAGTTGATCAATTTTATAGAAGGTTTTTTACAGACAGACTTCGTTTAACACTAGGACTTCTTCGCCGTATCATTAGTTATCATAACAAAATGTGTGCATGTTTGGCTATTTTGTTCTGAATCTCTTTTGTCACTCACTTCTACTTTTTTTTAAATTCTCATGCATCCTATCACCCCTTTTTTTGCTTTACTTCACCTATCTGTTTCTAGCCATCGCCCAAATCACGGTGAGCCTTGTCCCGATTGGTGGGTCTGATTATATAATCTCTTCATAACCTTTAAAAGATTTTTATTTCGACCTTGTCGTGTTTGTAATAGCATGTTTTAGTTTTTGCCACTTTTCTTTTTATTTGATTAACAATGGTCTTTGCGTACTATTGAAGCATTACTTAACTTAATCAAGTTAGCCTAATTATTCAACTTTTTGTATATGTGCACCAATTAAATGAGATATTTTGTACTTATTTACTGCACAAACACATATTTAGGTTTATGTTTATGTACTGTTGTTTTTTGTCTGTTGTATATATACGCATGAATATGTGTTTCATCGTTTTTGGTTTCAATTCTTGATTGAAACAAGCTTCACGATATTGTGTCGATGACATTCCCGCTATGACTTTTTTGATAAGTACAATAAGTGTTACTTTTAGATGCATGTTTGGTCGAGATTGTACTTTAATTATTTCATATAAGCCATGTTTTAAAAATTATAAACTTTATCATTTAGTGAATAAAAATTATAATATTCATATTTTATAGGTTACGAATTAGTTTTCTTCAGTTTTAATTCTTTATAAGGTTGCAGTTATTACTCCTTAAGTACACCTAGTCCAAACAATCTGTTTAAATTTATTTATCGTATGATAAGCATTAGTAACTAATTAGTAATAAAATTGCTAAATAATACATCAATAGGTTTACATTTGGTTCAATTTGTGCTTTCCAGTTCATTGACAGAAGTTGTCTGTTTATTGTTTCTATATTCTAATCTGATTGTCACGATGCGGTTGAATGTAGATATATAAAAAGTGCTATCCAAATATTTTCCAATAATGTCCTATTTATCAAATATCCAACTATTTTTACATCTCATACAGTTTACTGATAGTATATAAAGGAGATCAATAAATGGTCAAGATATAATAATAACATCGTTTTTGCAGTAACTGTCTTAATCTACTTAGTTCTTTGAGACTGTTAGTAGTTCAGAAATTTGTATCATACTAAATATAAGTTAACCAGTTGACTAATAGATTAAAATGTATATTCCATTTTTGTCTCTTAAAAACAAACGATTGCTTTGATGATTAGTATTTATCTTCTTCCTTATTCATTCATAATTCTTTAAACATTTTAGTTGTCCTTTTCTTCGACATAGTGTAGTTGTTTAAATTAACTATTTATGTTTTATTGTTTGTTGAGCGTTTAGTCGATCATTTGGGATTAGAAGACTGTATTCTCACTCCTTTGTGCTATGAATACTTTACTTTAAAAACTGCACTATAAATATATCACAAAAAATAATTCAAATTCCGTTGCTATTACTTTTAGTTTAGTCAATCATGTTAAACTTCAAGCTAATACTTTTCAAGTGATCCTATTAATGTGAATTTTATTTTCAACTTATTTAATTAATTTGAACTATGAAGTAACGTAAGATGAACAAATTGTTATTGTAATTGCATGTGAAATTTAGGTGAAAAACATCGAGTTATCTGTTGGTAATAAAGTATTCAACATAAACATAAATAACTGCTTCCCTTGTCAATGATTTTGTTATATCTGACGAAGATTAAAGAAAATGGTAATTTATGGGCTGTAATAATAATTATATATATATACATATATACATTCCTTTTATCGTGAACTTTTGACTAACCTATTAACTACTGTTGTAAGGTTTATTATTCTTATTCTGTTATATGTATACATATATACATTCCTTTTATCGTGAACTTTTGACTAACCTACTAACTACTGTTGTAAGGTTTATTATTCTTATTCTGTTGCCAGTTTTCTATTCAGCCTCCCTTACTCACAGCCCTTTTTGGGCTTGATCATGTATAATTGTCGTTTTTAATTTATGGTATGATGTGGGCAGATATGTCGGCATATAAACTATGTGTTCTTGAGATATAACATTCTCATAGTAGAGACTGATTACTATGTTCTGGACCCAACGGGCAGGCAGAAATAGAAGCTGCCTAATTGAGTATCAATAAGGACTTAACGGTGACTAGGCCACTAGTGCCAGTTAGCGTGTCATTGGTTAGCTCAGGGACAAATTTATAGAAATCGATATGCTGATTGGTTGATTTGTTGTGTGAGTGAACGTAATTCATAAAAATAAGATTCGTTTCAATCGAATCTAATGCAGTGTAAGTGCAACTTACGCTATTTGTTAGTGTGGTTTGGAAAATTACTAAAAAATCGTCTATCTAACTGCTTTTTCACTTTATTCCATAACTCATCAGTGGTCTAAATCCTAATATAGCATTATTGTTTATTCATTGTTTGCGAATTTACTGAATGATATACTACAAATTTAGTCGGTTCATGATATACCATAATTGTTCTCCAATCTCTTCAAAGAATTCAGTAGGACTAAGTAGTTGTCAGATTAACATTCAGCTGATCAATTTCATCCTGGTATTTTATCTCTATTCTGAAGGTTTTTTCACTACCAAGCTGATTAATTCTATGTATTTCCTAAGAATATGTTTGTAATTGCCCTAATTATATTTTGACTTGTTAAAGACGAACCTTAGTTGACTTAATAACTACGTACATTTAAAAACCAGCTTATTTAAGTCGATATCATCGAAAAGATTTTATATTCGTTTATGTTATGTACTCCTAAAAATAAAATATTAATCCTAATTGAACTTTAGGAATTTCTGAGATTATATTTTATATTTATATGAAAAAACTTAATAAGTTACGTCTCAGTGTACTTACGAATCTATTTAAACAATGGTTGACTGTGTAGTGTCAGTTATTATTTTAAGCCCATATACCTTATTCTAACTTTCGGACAGGTCAATCTATTCATTCTACTTGTGTCACATTTTGAACTTGTTAATTATTCGCTTATGAATCTTGACTTTTTATATGGGCTCATGTGTGTGCCCTTGTTATTCCATTCATCACATCTCTGTAGCTTAATTTTGTATGACAAGGAATATTGATTAACAATCGGTTAAAGGGAGTTGGCTCACGAGACTTCTCCATTGCGCGTCATTTCGTTTCGCTCTCTCATCTTCACTACGTCTCTCTGATCATCTGTTCCGATCAACAACTGTACAAAATATATGTATTGGGAAATCCATTCTCGTATTTGACTTATTTATTTCTATTATTCACTAACGCGATCTAAGTCTATAAATATATACGAGAATAAGCGACATGTATATTTCAAATACCATTCATACGACCAAACTGGAATCAGATTTAGGGCCACCAAAATGGAATTCTAGTTGTTAATTTTTTCTCCCTATAATTGGTTGATTTGTTTTTTTCTAGGATATATTGTATTATAACCAACGATGAGTTTTATTGAACTCGTTTTGAAAAAAAAATTTTTATAATACCTATTAATAATTTCTCTAATTTTACTCAATTTATTTTTGATGTTTCATTCATAATTATTTACTTACATAAAATGTAATGGAATGATTTATGTATATTGTTATTTGAGTATAAGCTAGAGAAAAACAATGGATTCTTATTCAATATATGTGAGATTATACACTGTAATCTTCTTACTGTTTTATATTACTACAAATATCTTAGATTCTTGGGTTAATAATCTACTGAATAGCTATATTTTTGTCATCTCTGTTTAGGTTTTTTTACAACTCTTATAGAAATCGGTTTACTGATTACTGAAAATAATAAAAAACCATATATATTATTACTAGATATATTATATATATTTATATATAGGTCATGTGAACCAAAATTTATTGTATGAATTAACGGTTTGATTTAGCAGATATAAAACACTAGATTTCAAACTAATGGATAGCAAGTTTAAGCTCATTTTATATTTTAAATCCTTCTAAGAACTAATTAATACAAGCTGTTCTTATTCCGTAAGCTAAAAAAGGAGACTAGAACATGAATTTACACATGGTTGTTAAGTTTTTTTTTCATTTTCTCAATTGTTTCCTGACAAAATTAAACTTTTTTCTCAAAAGGAATATTCACTTATTGTAACTATTTCTGTGTAAAAAAAAGACTTATGCTGTCGTCTTATTCACTTTTTTGTGTTATGTGTTGTACAACACTTTTTTCCAGTTATTCAAAAGGAGTTGCTTCACCAGAACGATTTGTTCGTAGTCGCTTGTATTTCACTAGTGAAAGTCATATTCATTCATTACTTACTTGTCTAAGATATGGTGAATTAGCAGATATTGTGACAGATGAACAATGGAGACGTGCTATGGATTATGTGTCGTCTATTTCCGAAATTAATTATCTTGCTCAAATTGTAATTATGATTTATGAAGACCCTACTGTGGTTAGTTTCCGCGGTATATATTGCATTACCTTTTTAATATTGTATTTTGTCGTTTTGTAAGTATTATTAAACTTTGACGTATTCAACATTTTTTTTGGAATTGTTAATCAATTAAGGAATAGTGATGGCTACTATTATAATACAGTACTGTGCATTTTTTTACATTATTTTTATTTATTATATAAAGTGTATAGTATGGAATGTGCATAGTTTAACCGACTTCGGCCTTACATTAGTTATACATTACATTAGCTTTATTAAAATATCAAACAACCATCAGGCTTCATAATGTAGGAGCAATGTTCCCTTAGAATCTGCTTATTACGTGACGATTACCTCCAGCTATCTAACTTCAAAATAAGTGAAAAGTCGTGACCTTCAATTTACCTGATTACCAATGCAGGACACTAGTTGACAACAGTACATTAACTACGAAAACATATTCACGAAAAGCATTAAAAATTTGTTATTTGCCGAGGCGAGGAAAATTGATAACCGTCAGTATTAACGAATAATATCCTTGTACTAAGATTTTTAACATTAATCCACTCTGACTCAGTACACATGAAAGTAAATGAACCAACATTTTATGGAAAATCATTGGATCCACAGCATTTGAAAACAACCATTCTTTATGTGTATTTAAATAACCGCAATGTTTAAATGCTAAGAAATTGTACTTTGACGTGGTATTTTCATAGTAATTAAGGTTCTTATTCTATTGTATTTATGAGATATTGTTTACCTTTTACTTGGTTTTTATCTCAAGAATTTATTTGCACTAACAATAGACTAACCAATCCTTAACTATATTGAGTGTTGTAGTTGATGTGTATGTGGCGGAAAGTGGTTACGACTTTCCAGTTACCTACATTGTAAACAAATGTTTCTTCATCAGGGCCTGAAAAACAACAGGGAATTCTCAAGTATGAGTTTAGGGATAGGGTGATTATGAGAAGTTTGTGTTTTATGAAGTATCGTACACAAAAGCTTATTTACATATAATAATACTTATCTATCGTCTCAATTTCCGCTTAATAATTCTAAATTATCACCATTCAACCTTTAAAAAAACTAAGTTGTCTTTATAAAATTTTGTCATATTATGGTATTCAGATATGTTTTAATAATCATCATCCTTCATCTAAGCACTATGATTATTTAGATTAATAGAAATGAATAATGTGTACTTTCTTATTAAGTAACGTTTTTTCGAATCTTGTCTATGCCAAGTATTTATTTTTAATCAAATAAACAGTTTAATATTATACTACATATAAAATTTTATTTTTACATTAATCATTAATTGAGCCTGGACATCATACAGAAAATTTATCAGTAGTGAATATTAAGAAATCTGTTAAGACAAACATTATTTTATTCATTGAAATTACAAAAAGTTTTCTTAATTTCCTCTCCAACTGTAAGTTGATTTGTCTTCTCCCAAAGTAGCCTGTTGCTGATGGTATCCGACCAATGGACATTGAGTGTCTTGAGTAAACAATTGTTTATAAATTTATTTTAGTTTAGTTTAACACATATGTTTTGGTGCAAGGAGGCACCAAGTACATATGCGCCACACGAATCTCAATTGATTTGTGTGAGGGCTGTGATACTGCCCGCGTGCCCAAACCGAAGAAGGATTGTTTATAAATACCTGTACTTTTTGATGATGGTTTTAGTAGTTCTCCACGTTTCAGCTCTGTACAGTAGAACTGTTTTGACGTCCATATTGAAGATTCTGTCGTTGATATTGTTTGACAGTTGTTTTGAGTTCCATTTGTTTTTCAATTGTAGGAATGTTGCCCTTGCTTTGTAGATCCTCTCTTTTACGTCTGCATCAGATCCTTCCTGTTCATCGACGATGCAGCTGACCAGGTACGTGAAAATGTCCTCATCTCCCAAAGCTCCTCTATCGAGTGTGACTGAGTTGGTGTTTCCTGTGTTTTATTTGAGGATCTTGCTTTTCCCCTTGTGTATGTTGTGGTCTACTGATACAGAGGCTGCTGCTACACTAGTTGTCTTCATCTGCATTTGTTCGTATGTATGGGATAGAATGGACAGGTCATCTGTGAAGTCCGAATCTTCTAACTGATTCCGAGCTGTCCATTGTATTCCGTGCTTTAACTCAGATGTCGAGGTCTTCATCATCCGGTCGACCACCGGAAGAAGTGGAAGGAGGAGATTGGATAACCTTCTCTGACTCCGTTCCTTATTTGGAATGCACCTGTCAGCATTGTAGTCCTTCGTTAGTCAGTCAGCTACAACGTAGGACAAGGATCAATTCTTCGTATGAATTCCGGATTGTGTTGATGATTTTTTCAGGTACTCCATATTGTCGAAGAAGTTTCCATAATGTTTTATCCACACTCAGACTCCTCATAATCATTGAAGTTGATGTATAGTGACACAACTGATTGTTCAACAATGATCCGTAACGTTGGACTGTGCACGACCGATCCTTATAGAATCCAACCAACTGATCTTGAAGTTGGGTGTCTACTGAATGTTTTATACGGTTCAGCAACACTGTTGAAAACTTTTCCTGTTACTGAAATTTGTGTGATGCCTCTAGTTCTCACATTTACTCAGATCTCCATTCTTTGGTATCTTGATGAGGTGTCCTTCCTTCCAGTCTGTTGGTCGCACATGTTCTTCCTCCCAAATCTTCCTGAATAGAACATAGAGCATGTTTGCAGTTGCTTCCATGTTTGACTTCAGAGCTTCATCTGGTATATTTTCAAATTCACATGCTTTTGCTTTCTTGATTTGTCTGGTGACCATCCTGATTTCTGTCTGTGCGTGCTGCTTCGATGTCCGGTGGATTTAATGGAGCTGGGCTATTCAAGAATTCCTCTAAGTGTTCCACCCATCTGTGCATCTGTTCTTGAATCTCAGTGATTAGTCTGCCTTCTTCGTCCTTGAGCGATCTCTCTGGTTTACCAGAGAGTTGTTTTCTATTTCCTTCTCTTGCAGCTTTTTCCGTCGTTGTTGCTAGGTCTCCCACGTATTTCTGCTTGTCGGCTTTAATGCTCTTCTTCACTTGCTTGTTTGCTTCTGTGTACTAAGTTTGTGCCTTGACTTTCTCTGCTCGTGTTTGGCCACTGGCAGCAAGAAGTTTGGTGTGAGCGAAACAATCTGCGAGGATGACGGAACGCCAATCACTAACATCCATCGACGTCTTGGACGATGGGCAGAATTCTTTGAAGGGCAGTTCAACTGGCCTGCTGCTCCGGCAACATCGGTCAGACTGTCCTGCCCTCCATGGCCGGTGACGACTGATCCACCAAATGAGGCGGAAGTCCGCAAGGAACTCCAACTCTTGAAACGTTACAAATCACCGGGCCCAGACGATTTACCTCCGGCTCTTTTTAAAGATGGTGGTGACTTTTTGACTAAGGGACTGACGACATTGTTTACAAAGATCTGGGAACTAGAGAGTGTACCAACGTCATGGAATGAGTCGATAGTTGTCCCTATCTTTAAAAAGGGTTCACGTTGTTCCTGTAACAACTATCGGGGGATAAGTCTACTCCCGATTGCGTCCAAGCTATTGGCTTCCGTCATACTTCGTAGGTTGTTCAGAACCCGAGAAAGATTGACTCGCGAGGAGCAGGCTGGGTTTCGTTCTGGTCGAGGATGTATTGATCATATCTTCACCCTCCGCCAAGTGTTAGAACACCGCCATACTTATCAAAGGCCAACAATCGTAGTGTTTCTTGATATCAGGGCTGCCTTCGATTCGTTGGACAGAACTGTTCTCTGGGATTGTCTATTGAAGAAGGGTGTGCCTGAGAAGTTTATTAACATCCTAAAAGCGTTATACACAAACACCTCAGGCAGAGTGAGGGCATACAATCACCTTTCTCCACTATTCCATTCGAGCAGTGGGGTTAGGTAGGGTTGCCCAATCTCACCATTCCTCTTCAACCTTGCCATCGATGACATTCTGGAAACAGCTCTGACGGATGTAAGTAATGGTGGTGTGGATCTGTTGCCTGGAGAAAGACTTCTCGACCTTGAGTATGCGGATGATATTGTCTTACTGTGCGAGAATACCCAAGCTATGCAATCCGCACTTAATCAGTTGGCAATCAGTGTCCGTAGGTATGGTATGTGCTTTGCACCTTCGAAGTGCAAAGTTCTTCTACAAGACTGGCAGGATTCTAATCCTGTACTCACTCTGGATGGTGAGCAGATAGAAGTAGTCGAGAAGTTCGTGTATCTAGGTAGCTGCATAAGTGCTGGTGGTGGTGGCGTGAGTGATGAGATCAATGCACGTATAGTGAAAGCCAGAGCGGCTTATGCCAATCTGGGCCATCTTTGGCGCCTTCGTGATGTTAGTCTGGCTGTAAAAGGTCGGATCTACAACGCGACGATGAGAGCAGTTTTGCTCTATGCTTGTGAAACCTGGCCTCTCCGAGTTGAGGATGTTAGACGACTCTCTGTGTTCGATCATCGTTGTCTCCGAAGGATTGCTGGCACCCAGTGGCAACACCATGTCAGTAATGCAGAGGTTCGGCATCGAGTGTTCGGTCACAGAGACGATAATGAAATTGGTGTCACCATCTTGAAACACCGACTTCGGTGGCTTGGACATGTTCTACGAATGTCGTCCCAGAGAATTCCACGTCGTGCATTATTTGCCGACTGTGGGACTGGTTGGAAAAAGCGGAGAGGTGGTCAGTATATGACATGGTGTCGTGGTATGAAAGAAAGCTGCAAAGGGCTAGCCTCTGTTGTTCCTTCACGACTCCCTGGTTGGAGTCCGAGAGACGGTGTAACGCAGTGGCTAGAGACGTTATCAGATATGGCTCAGAATAGAAGCCAGTGGCGATCGTGCTGTAACCTCTTACTTTCTTCATAAAAAGTGTTTGTATCTTCCTTAGCTGAAAGATCTCTTCTGATTGTACCTTTCCGTTTTCCCCACCATTGTTCTCTCTCTCCTTTTTTTTTTATAATTCCCCACGTTCATTACTTTTTTTTCTTCTCTTTTCTCCTTCTCTTCAAATTATCATTGTTTTGTGTGGCGCATATGTATTTGGTGCCCCCGTTGTACCAATATTTATGTGTTCAAATAAATAAAATAAATAATCTTGAATTCGTTGAGTTTGTTAGTATCTCGAAGGAAGGCTGTATTGAACCATTGTAGGGCTGTTTGTTCAGTTGTCCAGTGTTTCTTTATTTTCAGTTTCATCTTGGCAACAACCGGCTGGTGATGATCTCAAGTTATGTCAGATCTTCTCGTGATTCTCGTGTCTCCCATTGTTCTTCTGAATTTTTTTTATGCAATATGATCTATCTGGTTCTACGTAGTGTGATCCGGTGAGATCCATGTGGCTTTGTGTATGCGTTGGTGTGGGAATACTGTGACGCCTATAACCATATTGTTGAGTGCAAATAGGTTCGCAAATCTCTCCCCATTTTATTTTCTCTCTTCCAGTCCATGTCGTCACATGATATCTTCATATCCGGTGGTATCCATTCCGACTTTGACGTTTAGGTCTACCATCAAAATGGTCAGCTCCTTTCTGTGGCACTTTGCTATGACTGATTGCATCCTCTCGTAGAACTTATTCTTATTGTCGTCGTTGCTATCATTGGTGGGTGTATAACACTGGATAACATTTATTGTAAAATTCCATCCTTCTGTTTTTTTATGGAAGCTCGTGGATCTATAAGATTCCTACCCAATATGTGAATTCCGTGCGTGTTTGGTCAGCACCAAACCAATCTCCTGAGTTTGTGAAGCATTTTCCTCTTCGTGATTGGAGTACAGCAACATATCTCCCGTAACTAGCCTTTGTTGTCCAGCTTGAGTCCAACGGGTTTCTCTGATTCCGAGTACTGCCAATTTGTATCTTCTCATTTCCGTTGCTATTTGACTGGTCTTCCCGTTCTCCCACATTGTCCGGACGTTTAATGTACCTATAAAAATTGTGGCCCCAAATGCCCTGGTACGGCCGAGAGTGGGGAGAGTCCGCTCTCCCTCTCGAAATACTCTCACATGGCCACGCGTATATAGCCTCTACCAGGGAAGTCTTGCTCACTGCCTTCTCGTGGCGGGGCTGTTGTCTACGAAAATTAGAGGAAGAATAGCGAATGTCCGGCGCTTTAACCGGATCCCAAACCAATGGTGCACATGGGCTCCAGTATCCTGAAGGAACAAATGGCGTATGAACCAATCGTTGGTCACCGGCTACCATGGGACTGCATCTCCTCACGATGCTCTTTTGCCTTGTGGATCAGATCTTTAGGTCGAAGGCTCGGGGTGTGGCCCCCTAAGAAAACCACCTGCTTCGGTTTGGGCACGCGGGCAGTATCACAGCCCTCACACATATCAAATGAGATATGTGTGGCGCATATGTATTTGGTGCCTCCTTGTACCTATATCGATGTGTTAAAATAAATAAATAATAAATATAAAAATTGTTGCTCTGGTTGTTTGAAGGGTCATCGGCCTCATGACTTCCGAAGGAACTCGGCTTTCATCCCGAGGCGTCATAATTCTTCCTTCAACCCCCAGGGCAGAGTTTAAATGGTTTATTTTGTTTAATCTGTTTGGTTGACCCCATGACCAACCCTCCTCCTTTACCCGGGCTTGGGACCGGCAGTGTCTGTATTAGAGCTACAAACGGAGTTACGATATAAACATGTTTAACAATTATTATGGTAATTTTCATCAAATATGAATGTTTAAATTCATAACTGTGAAACGTTCCCATGGATCATGAACTATAGACCAATGAGTATTTGACTTGACATAACATTCGTGTTATTTTATTTCATCGATATGTTGGTTGGCAAAAATAACTCGCATGTTATGTCCCTGAGTACAACGTTGAGCTGTATCAATTGAAGTTTTAGTATACTTAGGAAAAACTTTATCACTTAAATTGCAAGCAGTTTAGGGTTTATCTTCATTCTGACATTTAATGATACCACTTGAACAGTCGAAAATGCCTCATTTATGTTATATTTGTATTTCTTTTTAAAAAATATCTAAACCAGTCAACTTGTTGGCAGTTTTTTTCATCAGTCTTCTTTGTTTTCGCACATTTACATTAACAATGAACATGTTTTTTGTATAATATATTTCAAACCGTAGGAACCGAAAACTGAAAAGCGATTCCATGTTGAATTACACTTTAGTCCTGGTGCTTTTGCATTATGTCATGATCTCCCTGAAGGTAGTGGTTTTCGATCTGGAAAGTTGGTGGTAGGTTTTTATTATTTACTTCACATATGATTTATCGCTAGACTTTTCTAAAGAAAAGTGTTTTTTCTTTGCATTTTATTACAGATTTTTTTAAATAATGCACAACAAGTATTGCTAGCTACCTGCGCACAGAGTGTACATCTTATGCGGTACCTTGTAAACGACCAAGTTTGGCATAAGTTAATGCTGAAAATATTCTCAGTTTAAGATTACTATGTAATGACATTTTAGTGATACTGAGGCTTTTTAGTTTAAATAGCTGTTTCTTGTTTTCAAATGAGTGACTGATGTAAAATAAAGTAGATGTATGGATTTGAGGTCATGTATCTAAATTTCAAGAAAATCATCTCTTGACACCTGTTGGCCGTTTGTAGTTGCCTATTATTTTATATTAAACATTGAGGGATTTCAGTTTAGCATCCTGCTTCGGTTTGGCCACCCGGTCAGTATCACAGCCCATACACAAATCAAGTGACTTGTGTGGAGTATATGTATTGGGTGTCCCTTTTAGCAATATTTATGTATTCAAATAATAATATATAATAATAAATAATTCAGTTTGGGATAACCATATGACGTCTCAGTTCTGAATATCTTTCAACAAAAGTTATGTCCTGTCATTGAAGCATCTTTAGTATGCTCCATTATATTAGTCCAATGTTCTTCATTATAATTAAAATTCAACACCTTTCAATACATTCAGTATGAATTTATTCATTACAATAGTAAGTTGTCGATCATTTTTTGTTTGATGAGTATTATGCATAATAATTTGTGTTGAAGATGATAAGTTCAGAGGTTGAGATTAACCACTAACACATCCCCTGTGAGAGAAAACGTTTTTGTCTCTTTATGACACTAACCCGCCCTGACGAAATGATTTTATCAATCAATTCCTGATATCGAAATATCCTCGACCTATTGTTAGGTTATTTATCAATAATCGGTGATTAGGATTTGGTGAATAGGAAATTTCAAAGGGAAAATACTAATCACCATAATATATTTCTTAGGAAAATGTAATTATTATATATTAAACTCTCTTGTAATATTAACGTTTCATCATCCGTATCTTGATAAGCGGTATTTCCTAGCTTTCTCACCTATTCTGCATAACAAACGTTATCCTCATATTTTGTTTGCTGAGGCCGTTGTTTTTTCATGCATTTATTAAGTAGTCTAATTCTCATTATAACTTCAACTATATGCTGGACTGTTTATACCCTAGTTTGTAAAAAATGAATTTGTTTCTTGTATAGTTTCACTTTGTTTTAGAAGTTATGCATTTGTTATTGCTTATCATAATAAACAAATAAATATTGTATATCACAGTCAGTTTTTAATGTCTCATAAAACTATCCCCATTTTTTCATCTCATCCTGATTTTGTTTCCTTCCTCATCACTATCATATGGACACTGACGGGTTTTACGTACGTTCATAAATTTGCAACCTAAAAATGGGTAATTTTTACTCAAAAATATTTTAATATGAAATCTGGCATTATGTTTTGCTTCTTTTATTTCTCTGATTCATATCATATATGTGTCTGCGTAAACATTTTGTATAACTGTTTAATTTTTGGCTTTTGTTTGTGTGCACGGGTTTATGCATGTGTACTCATCTATGTTGTTCTTCACGCTTACTTTGTATATCACTGCTTTATTATTTCGCTATATTGCTTGCTGTGTTTCATTTTCGTATCTTTGTATGTATGTATTCCGTATGATGAACATCTTTCATGTACTAAATACTAATAAATAAATAGCGTCTGAATTCTCAAATGAGCGTAATGAGTAGCGGTACATCTGTGGATAAAGGAAGTTCTGACTCAATGCCGCAATCAGCAATCCCTTCTGTTACACCTATTGTTCCTGCTAGTGAACAAGACAGGAAAGATCTGTTTGATAAATGTAGTGGTAGACAAACAGATCGAAGTAGTGAATATCACCAAAATCTTGGGTCATTTGACTCAAGTGAATGTTCATTCTCGGGATCTTCCGCTAACGACAAAGCTTCAGGTAAATCTACAACAGTGGTATCAAAAAAATTTGATTCTTTAGATTTGTTTCGTTGGAGTTTTGATAGTGATAGGAATACGTATGAATTATGTAAGAATCAAACAGAGACTTTTAATGATTCATCTCTTACCGAGCAATGTCCGGTTCGCAGGTCACATAGTGTTCGTTGTAACCTCGCTTCAAATGTTTCTCGAGAAAACACTGTAAACCACGAAGAAACTTTGATTGTCAACCACAGATCGCAATCTCAAGGTCGTCCTTCTGTTTTGCCATTATCACCTGTACCATCAACCTCTACTCTAGAATTAACTGGAACTCCTACAGCGTCAAATACAGAAGTTGGTATTGGACGATTCACTGTTACGCGGTTCACTGATAATAAAAGTGCTTTGGGTCCAAATTTTCCAAGTGAATCGAAAACTGATAATTTATTGTCGACATTACCGTATACAAATAAACTAAAAACATATCACCTTAAACATTTTTCACGTTCGAGTTTCTGCCAACATTCTGCCCGTAATAGGTCTAGTTCATGTCATCCTGATGTTTACAGAAAGACAAATTTAACTACAACCCTATTATCAAAACCTAGATATTCATGTATTTCAAAACTACTTCAAACGACAGGTAAGCTTAATGATTTTGGCGAGTTTAAGAAATATGATTATAATGAACAACTGTCTTTTGAATGTTCCTGTTCAAATACTAATTCGTCACGTTTCGCTCCTGTAATTCAATGGCTTTCAAAGCAGTCAGAACACTTAGTGAAATCAGATGAAAAATGTGACAATGAGGATCACAAATCAAATCCAACCGACATAGAAGACAAGGTAAGAAATAAATGATATTTACTGGTTTATATCTAGAGATAAGTTATTAGTTCGTTTTATCTAAAATTATTTTAATATTTTTTTAAACGGTTTATACATCCTGAAAATCTTGACTTACATACGTAGTTTAAATCATACTATTCAAAGCTGGATATAGTATAATTGAAATTATTTCTAAAAGTTCATTCTCACTGTCACAATGAACAACTTATTTCAAAACATGGTTATTACAAGATTATCATTAATAAAAAACTTTCATCCTAATAATAAGTGTCATATGAGTAATTTATGACTTTAAACTTTTTGATATATATATATATATTTATATATATATATATATATATATATATATATATATATATATATATATATTGTATAACCAGATACTTCATTTAATTGTAAATTTTCTGATCTAATGATAAATAGTTTTTTTTCTGAGAAAAGAAAATTTATATCAATATTCGTTTGATATATGATTCATATGTTATAATATACTTGTCTTATTAAAATCTCACTAATAATTCTATTTTTCATTCTCTCACTTTCAGTTTATATCTACTTATATTTAAATATTGAAACTTTGAATTTAAATATCAGGTTATTTTATATTTTTGTCTCGCCCGTCATAATCAAAGTATCTATATATGTTTGGTGGCTAAATTTCATACATCCATTCAATAAGTTGTTTAGTTATGCCTCATGACTAGGGTGGTATATATTTTTTACAGTAGTAACTATTATTTTGTTGTCAACTTAATTTTTTGACAATATTCAAAAGTTTATTTTTCAACTATTAATCCATTTTGTAGGATGTTTTTATTATATAATTATAATTTGATTATTATTATCATTATTGTTGCCTACGTGTCTTCTCGTTGTAGAGAGTTCGAGAAACACCGAAACGGCTAACTTTTGGGGCTCGTAAATGTGAGTATACGCTCTTCTAAGTATCATTATGAGGTTGTTCTTGACAATTTCACCATCACAGTAATTTGTTGCATGAGAGCTTTTTTCGCTTATTCATGTACTCGCTTTTGTTTCTTTCATCTGCCACTTCTTGTTAAGTTTTAGCTCTGTAAGAAATTTTATATGTGCATTATGTCAAATTTCTATGCGAAATTAAGATTAAGACAATACGTTCCTTAATTGACTTGGAAACGTTTAAGTTTATCTTCACCATTATTAAAATATATTCCATCAGCCAACATTTATAGTGCCCATCAGGTTTAATAGAGAGTCCACTTTCAACAAATACGGTGATTTTTTTAATATGACGATTTATAATTTTTGTCACTTCAGTAATTTAATTGCATTCGTCTATTTCAAACAGCTATGGTATAATCTTTTTAAAGATGCTTGTAAAATGTTTGATGAACTTCACATAAAATGCTTAAAATATCCCTCCATTGTGAAGCTAAAGTCATACAAAATATTCATCATTAAATTTACTCCATACGAAGTTGCCTTTGAGCTCTGCAGCAAAACTAAATGAAGTTCTATTCTGCAGATTATTGACATCCGTGATAATAAGAGTCAATCGACTAGGTTTTAGTATTAATTAAATAGGCAAATGGAGCTTATTATACAGATCTTATGCAACGACTTTAATTAAATAAAGTATGACTACTAAGTATTTATATAAGTCAGATTACTATCTATTCCAATTAAAATACTTAGCTTTACGCTTAACAAGCAAAAATCATCTAAAATTTCTTTAGGTCAATTAGCACATCTGGATATGACAGATTTATTCAGTTAACCCGATATATTCGGGTTAGCGAAACAATCGCAGAGAAAGATGGACATATTATTCATTCTCAATCCAGGAGATTGGATCGATGGGCAGAATACTCTAGGGATCAGTTCAACTGGCCTTCAGCCACACTTCGGTTTCCCACGATCTCCAGTCGACCTGAATGGCAAGTTGATGTAAGTCCTCGACTCTTTACGAAGTTGAAAAAGCTATAGGAAATCTGAAGCGTGGGAGAGCAGCAGGCCCTGATAGGTTTACCCCTGAGATTTTTAAGGATGGCGGTCCAGTATTAGCAGCGAGATTGACTGAGGTCTTAGGTAGAATCTGGGAACTGGACGTAATCCCATCTGACTGGTCTCAATCACTGATTGTGCCAGTCTATAAGAAAGGAAAAAAGTCCTCCTGTGACAATCACAGAGGAATTGGTTTGACTAATATAGTGTCTAAAATATTAGCTTCAATAATACTTCGACGTCTAACCAAAGCTCGTGAAGAGCAGACTAGAGAAAACCAGGCTGGTTTTCGACCTGGACGTGGTTGTATTGATCAAATACTCACATTACGTCAGGTCCTAGAACATAGACACACATTCAGACGTCCCACAATGGTAGTATTTCTCGACCTTAAGGCGGCATTTGACTCTGTTGATCGTGAGGTTCTATGGCAGTGTTTGTCACTGAAAGGAGTACCAAAGAAGTACATCAACCTTATAAGGGCTCTCTACTCGAACACAACTGGTCGAGTGAGAGCTTATGGTGAACTGTCATCAGAATTGATTACCTCAAGTGGTGTTCGTCAGGGCTGTCCACTCTCTCCATTCTTGTTTAACTTTGTTGTTGACGAGCTTTAAGAGATAACACTTTCCACATCTGACTTTCCAAGGGTCGAACTTCTACCGAAAGACTCACTTGTTGACTTAGAGCATGCCGATGACATAGTTCTATTTGGTGAAGACGCTTACAAAATCCAGAGTCTGCTGACCACTCTAAACAACATTGCACGCATGTTCGGCATGCGATTTTCTCCCTCGAAATTCAAAATGTTGCTTCAAGATGGTGTTGCGTCGACACCCGAACTAGTGATAGGGAGTGAAGTAGTTGAGCGTGTCGACCGCTTCACTTATCTCGGAAGTCTCATCAGCCCTTGTGGTTTGGTGTGTGACGAAATCTCAGCACGGATACAGAAGGCTCGACTAGCTTTTGCCAACTTGCGTCATTTGTGGCGTAGGCGAGATATCCGTCTATCAACCAAAGGACGAGTTTACGGCGCAGCAGTTCGTTCTGTCCTACTTTATGGCAGTGAAACATGGCCGGTAAGAGTAGAGGATATTCGTAGGTTACTAGTATTTGACCATAGGTGTCTTCGAAACATCGCTCGTATATCCTGGGACCACCGAGTAAGTAACTCAGTTGTTAGGAAACGGGTACTAGGTAAGGATGGCAAATCAATTGATGAAGTAGTGAAACTTAATCAGTTGAGATGGCTGGGACATGTGTTGCGCATGCCCGACCACCGACTGCCCCGACGTGCTATGTTTTATGGTGTTGTAGGAGTAGGTTGGAAGAAAGATAGGGGCGGCCAGACCAAAACATGGCACAAATCGATGAAGTCACTGACAAGTGGACTGGGACATGTTGGTAGGTGTAGACTACCTGGTTGGGGACCGCGAGACGATAGCAACCGATGGTTAGAGACCTTGAATGACATGGCTCAAAATCGTTTGCAATGGCGCAGGTGCATCCACTCTTTGTGTTCTCTCAAACTCTAGTCTTCTGAATTCTTCATGTCCTTTATTTTCTTTCCCAATTTATTCCACTGGACTATACTCCTTTAATAACATCATCAAACCTTAATGTCCCCTATTTCTACTTATACTTTCAGTACCTCTACCACTATGGGATTTGAATCGATAACTGAATCTCTGTGCTAATGTGGTATGGCAACTCGAACTGATGTACGTACGTACGAAGTTCCACGTTGTTACTGACTGACTGGTGTAAGTGAAGATTTATTAACCCCAAAACACGACGACGACGACCGTAGTTGAAAATACACTCAGTTATATATTGATTGTACACACACTTTGTTTAATAATTAGCATGAGCATTGTTCATGTCAATGGAATATAAAATAATCGTATATTGTACAGAATAAAATACTACACTGAATGATCATCACATTGAATCAAAACGGAGGTAATGTTGAACAAAACTCATAATGAGTAAATCAATTGACTTTCTTCTCGTCATATCATATGGCACAAAATCAATCTTCATGGTTTAGGTTCATTCACTCTCTCTCCTCAAAACCTGAGTCCAAAATCTATTATATTTTTCTTTTTTTCCTAGTCTCTTCTACTATTAATCCTTCTTCTTCTAACCTAGGATTTAGTTTTTGATAATTTCATTTCACCGTGCTAATGCAGTATGACAAATTGAATCGATACCTATATGTGCCAAATTCAAAAGGAATGATAAACATTGTCCTAAATCTTTATGTTTTATGAATATCACAAAGTTAAACTTCTCCAATCATGGATTGACCCAACAACAAGAACAACATCTAGGCGTTGACCTTTATTCTTTATTTATGACAATAATTTTTCTAGCACTACAAAATTTGTGTTGTAGTGTGTAATTGTATTGTTTACCACTTTTTTTTCTATTCTGACATTTCATTCCACCTCTATTTAAATTGTTTGTAATCGATTTTTTTTTCGTTATTAGTATACGATTCAGCTGGTTCAAATAATTCTACTAGAATAAATCAACATAATAGCACAGGCTCTGTCCATTCATCAAAAAATCAAGATTTAACTTCCACATCTACTCGAGCTCGTTTAACTCCACTTCCTTCTGATGAACCGGTGTCTTCTAACACAAATGAATCGACTCAATTTTCAATGGATTTACCATTCAATCAAATTAATTCTCAACCAGTCAACAATTTTTTGTCATCATCTGGGGCTGACAGTGGTGTAGATGATGATCCTGTTATCAATCAGACTTTGAATGCTATCACTTACCCTAGTCGTCAAAGTCCATATCATTTAGATATTGGACGTCTTGTAAGAGGTATGTTTTATAGCATTAAAAGGAATATAAGCTATCTCGATCATACACTTTAATTAGTGTTAAAAAGTTTAAAATTTTATTAATTTACTAAGAAAATTTATATTCTTTACATAAATCTATAGACTAGTTATATCTCTGTCAGTCAGCTAATTGCTATGAAATTTTTCTTCCAAATGCTCTGGCTAGTAGTACTTATAAATATATCACATATCATACCACGTTGCTCTCAAACGTCCTTGTACAACCGAGGGTGGAGAGAGTCTGCTCTCCCTCCCGAAATGCTCTCACATGACCACGCATGTACAGCCACTACCAGGAAAGTCCTACTCACTGCCTACTTGCGATAGGGTGTTCTTTACAAAATTGAGAGGACGAAAAGAGAATGTTCGGCGCTTTAACCGGTTCGGTGGACACAGAAGGTCCACCTAGGGGAGATGAGAAACCCTGGTTCCAAACCAATGGGGCACATGGGCTCCAGTATCCTGAAGGAACAAATGGCGTATGAACCAACTGTTAGTCACCGGCTACCATGGGACTGCATCTCTTTACGTTGCTCTACTGCCTTGTGGATTAGACCTTTAGGTCAGAGGCTCCGATTGTGGCTTTCTAAGAAAACAGCCTACTTTGGTTTGGCACCCGGATAGTATTCCAGCTCCACACAAATCAATTATAATCACTACTGTACTCATTATTATTGTGTGGCCCCTTGTACCAATGTTTATGTGTTCAAATAAATAAAAATGTTTTTCTTATTACTTTTCAAACTACACTGAATGTATAATTTGGTCTGTTTTCGTTACAGAATTTCTCTGCAGTAAACATTTTGTTTGGTTTAAAAATTTTCTGTTATTCTCTTCATGAAAGGATACTTGAAAACGCATTTTGAAAAAAATTTGATAAATATTTTGTTGTTTTCTGTTCAGCGATATTTTCTTTTTTTTTAGTAATTTTATAATGTATGGGTCCAACTGATGCTTTATTTCGAGTTATTCACTAATATTCATTCATTCATAAAATATTCAGCATTGTCGACAGACTTCAACTTAATCAATATCCCACTTACATACCTTTTTTTAACGATAGTATCACCTGCCAGTACATACTATGATAAAGAATTATCAGTTTTATTAGTTAAAAAGATAATTAACATTATATTTCGACCAAATCATGTACAATATTTTTGTACTGTCATCTTATTTAGATGAAGTGTGTATACTTGCACAATTTGGAATCTTTTTCATCTGTATTTTAGAAACTGAACAGATCTACAGACGTTTCAGTTCTGCAGCCCGTAAATTATATGTTCTATACATCACTTTTCATTTATACAGTGTTCGTTGTTTTCACGTAACATCATTTGGCATCATTTTTGTATTATTGCCTGTTTCCAGTTTGAATAGATGGTGCATGGTTTGTTGATACAGTACATTTCATTTGACCTGGATTAACGGCTCCTGTTTAATTAAACTGTTGTATCGAAACATCTGACCTATACTACTGATAGATAATGTCTAAAATGAATAAATCGGAGAGTTGAAGAAACACTACATTTTTCATATTTTCCAGTGGTTTTAAGTCTTACTCACTTTCGACTGTTACCATATTTTTTACCATTTTCCTAGTATGGCATTGAAATCACGAACTGATATAAGTTAGATAAAAACTAGAAGTCTCGAAGTACTGGACAACCATTTCGTCCCAGTATTGGGACCACTCGGCCGTATGCATCCACGACCTTGCGATGGGGGATGGAACTCAGGACCCATAGATCAGTAAACTGAGACCCAACTGTGTTCAAGTCTAACTTCAATCAATTCACGGCATCGCGTGACCATCTTCCATTGACTTAAGTCTATACCTTTTCCTACGCCCAACAGAGTTTAGCTCCACTGATCCCTCTCGAAGCTAGTCACTGGTAATCTCATGATAATTTTCAGTTTTGCGAAAATTGTTTGGCGTCTGCATGTGATGATGTAGGTCCTGACTTTGATTCCCGCCTACGAGGTTGTGAGTGTAGATTGCTAGAGTCCCATACTAGGACGAAACGGCCGTCTAGTACTTCCAGGTTTACAATGGTTGTCCAACTTAGATTGGTTTGTAATTTCAATGAAATTCAACAATCTCCTTAAGCCCATACTGAAAATTCCTAGTATATGTATTACTTTACCAGTTTTCAATGTAAGTAGTGAGTGATTTTCTTCAAGTCGGTTTTCATTTCAAAATTGCTTCTTAAAACTAGTTTATTGTTATTAGGACGATACATATTGTTTGCTTCTCGCTTATCATCGGCTGTTATAATTAGTCATATTATTTTTGTTAGTCGGAACATAATTTCTCATGTATATTTAGTCAGTTTATCGTCGTGTTTGTGTGAATGATCTTAAGGCTTCATACATTACTTACGCTTGGAAGCTTTTTGTTTCAGCATATTTATCATCTGTAATGCAGTTATTGTTATCTTTACACTAACACCTTACAACATTTATTCTAGTTTGTGTTAGGTTTCTCAGTTCTTATGTTTATTTTTGTAAGGAAAAATACGACAAGAAATATGACCATTAAATATCTCTATGCTTCATTTTCTTTCTCTACAAAAATAACCAACGTGATGCTAAATAATATCAGTTAGATAAAAAAACGTGTAAACGATACTTTATAAATTATAACTTAAATGTAATTACGACCGTTGTAAAACATTTAATCCCTTTTGAAAATTATAATAGTATCATATAACACTAATGTAAAATGCCGTTTGTATATTCGCTTTTGATTTTGTCTGCTTCGAATATAAAACAATATGTTATTCTTTGAAAACAGTCTTATTTGGTGAATATCTATATAGTTTTTGTTTTTCCTAACAAATATTCTCATGTTTTATGAGTTTATGGTATTAAAATATCATGCGTATAACAACAACATAAACACTTGTAATTCTTAGTTTTTCTTATACTCAAATGTAGTATAGTTACTGCAAAAGAAAGTTCGGACTGAATATTTCTTTAAGTTTTTGATGTTTTTGAAATAACTATGCATGATAATGGAAAGATTTTCTCTCTATTATAGTATAAGTCATTAATAGGTTTCAAGTTTGTTTTTTTGCTTTTATTCCATTTGATGTCGGTTTGTTGCACGTCATTTATGGATGCATGTTGTTACAACTTTTATTTTCTCATCTACACGTATAAAAATACTAAATTCATTCATCAATAATTTATTTCATGTATTTATAGATAACATACATTTTTTGTAAATAAAATTATCACGTGAATATCTAAATAGTACTTTGATACTAATTGTGTGTAATGTATGTATCTACCAGTTTTACCAACGACTAACTTATAGTTTGATTTCAGTTCTAAATTTTTCGATATTCTAGAACAAATAAGTTTGCGGTTATCAGTGCAATCCAAGATGCACGTTATTTAAAACTCATCAGTTTAATGTACTTGAATCCTAGTGTTGTTAACACTAAGATATAGATTGAGATCTTATCACTTCAAAAAACAGCTAGTTAGTCTAGTCACTGTTTTGCTCAACGGGTATGATATATACATTATTACCGGTTATACAGAACCAGTCAGTTCAAGATGCACATGTACCATCTATGATCGGTCAAAATCCATTCCTAAATATCAACAAAGGGATATATCTAGCCTTTTCTATTAATGACTTCAAATTTCCTAGTTTGATAGATCGATAAATTGTCCTTCTATGTATCAACATATTTATTTATTTATTCAAACATTTAAACATTGGTACAAGAGGCACCAAATATATACGCGCCACACTTCGTCATTCGATTTGTCTGAGGGCCGGGATGCTTCCCGGGCGTTCAAACCGAAGCAAGTAGCTTTCTTATATATACATTCATTTACTGAGAATATAATTTCATTTAGCTCATTTTCATTGTGTACCTTCCTTTATCTGTTTGTATTCTTGTAGATTTCATTCGTTCTATTTGTAATAATTTACTAAATAGGTTCATTAAGTTTTGTATTCTTTTATTATCACTTTTCTAGCCACCCCACTGCACTTTCCTCCTCAAGTTAGCCTTATCGTTTTACTTAATAAATACCAAATTGTTGTACAATTTCATTCTCTTTTAATTTATCAGTATAAAAGTTGTCAAGCTATTTGCTAGAAACATTTCAATTAACTCAGACAAACTTAAGTTTCAAAGTAATAGTTCATCATTTCCTGATTATAGCAATTGATTGTGTAAACAAATAACTGATAGTTATATTCATGGATTATTAGAGATACATCTAATAAAATGAAGCAAATACACGAGGAAAATGAAAACTACTCATCACTATTGTTCCTTTTTTATAGCTGTTGCCATGGGAGCGCCGTTTGCACCGCCAATATGTCGAAGTCTTATAAGTACAGCGGTTATACGTGGTTCACGCGATGATAGCCAAGCATCTAGTAGTGTTCCTGATTTTAAAAGATTAACAGAAGATATAAGCGTGGCACCTCGAACGTTAACTCGTAAGTGGTTTGTTCACTTATACTATTTGTTTTTACTGTTTTTTTCTACCAGAAAGCGCGACGTCCGTGTTTTGTTATCTGGATTATTACTTACGCCTGTTACCCCTCTTGAAGGAACATAGGCCACCCACCAGCATTCTCCATGCAACTCTGTTCTCAGAAATCCTCTCCAGTTGCTATTCATCCTTTCCATGTCTGCTTCAAATTCTCGACGTAGTGTGTTCTTTGGTCTTCCTCTTTTCCGTTTCCACTCAAGATTCCATGTTAAAGCTTGTTTTCGTGATGCAGTTTAGTGGCTTCCTCAATGTTTGTCCTACCAACCTCCAGGGTCTTTTCGCGATTTCCTCTTCAACTGGAAGCTGGTTTGTTCTCTCTCACAGTAGGCTGTTGCTGATGGCATCCAACCAAAAGACATTGAGTATCTTGAGTAAACAATGGTTCACAATTACATGCACCTTATTGATGACGGTTGTAGTAGTTCTTCACGTTTCAGCTCTGTACAGTAGAACTGTTTTGACGTCCATATTGAAGATTCTGTCGTTGATATTGTTTGACAGTTGTTTTGAGTTCCATTTGTTTTTCAATTGTAGGAATGTTGCCCTTGCTTTGTAGATCCTCTCTTTTACGTCTGCATCAGATCCTTCCTGTTCATCGACGATGCAGCTGACCAGGTACGTGAAAGTTTCTCCTTCAAGAACTTTCTTTTCCTCTTGTGTATGTTGAGCTCTACTGATTCAGTGGCTTCTGACACACTAGTTGTCTTGACCTGCATATTTTCTTATATATGGTATAGAATGACCAGGTCATCTGCGAAGTCCAGATGGTCTAGTTATATCCATGGATTATTATCAGGTGCGTGTTATTGTTTGGTAGAAATTGGTTTTTTGCATACAATCATACGAACAATGAGTGTTTTTTTTATTTAAATTTACATTGGGTACAGTCGCGTTCACACATGAATTAAATGACAACTCTACTATGATTTTCTTTTAAATATCTGTGTTTATGCGGGATTATTATTAGTGCATATGATTTATGAAACGTGTATTTCAAACAAACTGTAATACATCACATTTTAATCTTCCGTAAGTTACGAGAAGTTGTATGTTCCCCTTCAGTTGCTTTTTTACACTTCTATTGTATGTAATTATTTTTTTCGAATCTTAACTTTTTCTTGATTTCAATAGATAGTTCTACTAGAAACCAGCTAAATTGAAGCACAATATCATGTTTAAATATCGTTTGAATTATTTGAATTTCAAGACCTATTGAAAATGGATAAATATCAATCGTAATTAGTTTGAGTAATAGATTTTAAATCAAAAGTTCATATCCCTTCAGAATAAAAATCTTTTTGAAATTTCACTAGTCCCCATTCAACCCATTATTCAACAATGTTTTTAGTTATCATATCCGTATTTATTCAACAATACATGTGGATATCATACATAGTAGCAGTTAAAGTATTTGACTTTCATTTATCTAGTCTCACATCTTAGCTATGCTCCTCGCTCACTTGAAACAGCCTTGTTGGATAACATAACATCTCATCACAAACACAAATGTCTGATTCATAGTTGAGTTTATTTACTTTAGTATATGTAACAACCTTTCATTAAGTGGTTAACAAGTAAATGGATAAGTTACCTCCTCTAAAGTACATAGAGTCAGAATGCTCTCTTAGTTTTCTACTACACTGCTCCATAGTAATAATAAATCCCTCACAACCTAATGCGAAATTTATTCTTTAACATTCTTTTTATTTTCCTCTCGCTTTATCTTTTGTTGAATAGACGAGTAGCTTAAAATGACCTTTGACCTTAACTCCAGTTACGTGTTTATTTTCTTTCTAAACTCTAAAAGAGTGTTGTTGTCAATAGTTTTACTAATAAACTCCACACAAACATCTTATAGCTACTATATCTCAATTTATTTACTAATTTTATGATTAATAGCTGGAAGCTCTCAAGAATTTTTGGTTCCCAGTGCGCCATGTGTCCCAGAAGTTTATCCCCTGGAAACACTACATAACGCTTTAACTTTAAGTCAATTGGAAGCCTTTCTTGTTCGTCTAACTACTCATAAGTTTCCAACTCCATTTACATCACCGAAACATCCATCTACTCCTGTAAATTATTATCACCATCATCATCAACCTCAGTTAAGTCAAACTACTCTTGAGTTCTTCTCTCAGCATCATGACTTATGTAGTAACATATCTTCCTCATTTCCTAATTCTACTGGAGATTATACTGCTACACAGGACTGTTCCAATATTACTGATGAAGCCTCCACTCAACTACAGCAACCTGTTTCATCAAATGTTACGTCAATAATCCCATCCGCTTCACTGTTTCAAAAAATTACTTTCAGAAATACAAATTACCAACAGTAACTCAAAAAAATTCCGACGGTCTTTTCTTCCCTAATTAATAAAAGGTTAGTAAAAATTTTGTCGTGCTATATGTAAAATTCTTCTGACTCTATTTGTTTGAAATAAAAGTGATATCCAAATTGTAAAAGTATGACTATCAATTGAATCTATACTAATAATTAATTTACGACAGCCGTGATGAAAAGTCCTTCGATTATGTAAAACCGACAAAAGAACCGATCGATAGAGCTTACCTAATGTAACGAATTCCATAATACTAATAATACATTTTTATTGCTTGTCACAAAGATTTAATGAGTTACCTCATGTAACAGGTTAATCCGAAATTAAGATAAGTCAAGCTATCTCCCAACTATTTCAAGTAATAAATTGTTGGTAAAAGGTAGAAATTTCTACATATTTATCTGCTTAAAAGTTCGGAGCACAAGTTCGAGCTTTTATCCCGGTATCAGATTAGAGATTGTGGTGATGGTTGGCTTTTATTGATGTTACAAACCGACCTGACTCAGACGACCATTGAGAACGTGGAAGAACTTGGTAGCTTCCTTTCCTTAGCATGGAAATCTTCAGCAGTGCTCATCCACGACTTCGCAGGTGGCAATCGAACCCAGTACCTTTGATCTCGTTTGCAAACACGTAACTTCCTGACCACTGATCCAGATCTTCACACTATAACATTTCCACAAAGCTGTTATTAAATTCTTTTCCTTATGAATATTTTTTATCTATCAGCTGGTTTTATGGCTGTACTCATAATAATCGAAATATATCAGCAAATAAGTATAAATCATCTATGTAATAGTTTAACGCATTGCGTTTAAGTTTGTTTATAGTTAAAATAGGCATCATTTAATCGACTCTTGAAACTTACAGACATCCTGTTTTTATTTTACTGACAATACCACTTATTTCTTTGGGGATGCTTCTACATTCATGTAGTTTTCCATATTCTTTTGGGAATCATGCACGTGAAGCGGAATGCTACAAGCTTAAAAAAATTGTTTCTCATGAGATGGCTTCTGTATTGCTCCAACCAATGTTACCCCCCCCCACATATCCCCACCTAAGTCACTGCAGCAATATGTAAACTGGACTCAAATAGACCATATTGCCATCAGTCATCGTTGGAGAGGGTCGATACAAGATTGTCGCTCATTCTGGAGTACCTGCTTGGACTCCGACCATGCTCTAATACGAGCACGCATCTGCTTGCGCCTCACGAAAAAGCCACACTAAAAAGACCCATTAGAACTGAACTAACTAACGAGAAATCCAAAAGTAGGTTCCCGGAATAACTGAGGTCACACTTACTTACTTACTCCTCGTGAAGGAGCATAGGCCGCTCACCAGCATTCTCCATCCAACCCTGTCCTGGACAATCCTTTCAAGCTCTTTCCAGTTCTTATTCATCCTTTTCATATCTGCTTCTATTTCCCGACGTAATGTGTTCTTTGGCCTTCCTCTTTTCCGCTTCCCTTCGGGATTCCAAGTTAGCGCTTGTCTCGTAATGCAGTTTAATGATTTCCTCAATGTATGTCCTATCCATTTCCATCGTCTTTTCCTAATCTCCTCTTCAGCTGGTAGCTGGTTGGTTCTCTCCCACAAAAGGCTGTTGCTGATGGTATCCGGCCAATGGATGTTGAGTATCATGCGTAGACAGCTATCGATAAATACCTGTACCTTCTTGATGGTGGTTGTTGTAGTTCTCCACGTTTTAGCTCTGTACAGTAGAACTGCCCTGACGTTCGTATTGAAGATTGTGACTTTGGTATTGGTTGGAAGTTGTTTTGAGTTCCATATGTTCTTCAATTGAAGGAATGCGGCCCTTGCTTTGCAAATCCTCGCTTTTAGGTCTGCATCTGAATCTCCATGTTCATTGATATTGCTTCCCAGGTATGTGAAGGATTCCACATCTTCCAGAGTTTCGCCATCAAGAGTGATTGGATTGCTGTTCTCCGTGTTGTGTTTGAGGACCTTGGTTTTCCCTTTGTGTATGTTGAGGCCTACTGATGCAGAGACTGCTGCTATGCTGGCTGTCTTTATCTGCATTTGTTCGTGTGTATGTGATAGGAGGGCTAGGTCATCTGCGAAGTCAAAGTCGTCTAATTGGTTCTGATCTGTCCATCGTATGCCGTGGTTTCCCTCAGATGTCGAGGTCTTCATAATCCAGTCGACCAGTAGGAGAAACAGGAAGGGAGAGAGTAGACAGCCTTGTCTTACTCCGGTCCTTACTTGGAATGCGTCAGTCAGCTGTCCTACATGCACTACTTTGCACTGTAGTCCATCGTATGAGTTCCGGATAATGTTGACAATCTTCTCAGGAACTCCGTAGTGTCGAAGAAGTTTCCATAACGTTCTCCAATCTACACTGTCAAATGCCTTCTCATAATCAATGAAGTTAATGTACAGTGACGAGTTACACTCAAGTGATTGTTTGACGATGATCCGTAGTGTCGCAATCTGGTATGGCACGAGCGGTCCTTACGGAATCCAGCTTGTTGATCTCGAAGTTGAGCGTCTACTGCGTCTTTCATCCTGTTCAGTAACGCTCTGTTAAAGGCTTTTCCTGGTATTGACAGTAGTGTAATGCCTCTGTAGTCTTCACACTTGTTCAGATCTCCTTTCTTTGGAATCTTGATGAGGTGTCCTTCTTTCCAATCCAGCGGCACTTGTTCCTCCTAAATCTTCTTGAATGGAAGATGAAGCATTTTTGTCGTTACTTCGATGTCTGACTTCAGTGCTTCAGCTGGTATATTGTCGGGTCCTGCTGCTTTCACGCTCTTGATTTGTCTGATAGCCATTGTGATTTCTTCGGTCGTCGGTGGATTGACATCTATGGGAAGATCTGTGTGTGCTGCTTCGATGTCCAGTGGATTTATTGGAGCTGGCCTATTCAGGAGTTCATCAAAAAACTCTACCCATCTGTCCCGCTGTTCTTGAATTTCAGTGATTGGCCTGCTTTATTTGTTTTTGACTGGTCTCTCTGGTTTACTGTATTTCCCTGCTAGCTTCTTCGTCGTATCGTAAAGCTGTCTCATATTTCCTTCTCTTGCAGCTTTTTCCGCCGTCGTTGCTAGTTCTTCCACGTATTTTTGCTTATCAGCTCTAATGCTCTTCTTCACTTTCTTGTTTGCTTCTATGTACTCAACTTGTGCTTGGACTTTCTCTGCTCTTGTTCGACTGTTGTTAAATGCTGTCTTCTTGTTCTTTCTTTCTTTGATCCTGTCCAGTGTTTCTATAGAGATCCATTCCTTGTGATGATGCTTCTTGGGGCCCAGAACCTCATCACACGTTGAAGTTAATGTTTCTTTGATGCCTTTTCAGCTATCCTCCATAGTAGTTTCTTCTTCCTTCAGTAGGTCCTGTAAGGCTTGGAACCTGTTGTTGAGAGCTACCTTGAATTCATTGAGTTTGTCAGTATCTCGAAGGAAGGCTGTATGAGGTCACACTTAGTTAGTTCTGAAAACGAGGCTGACCCAGATGTTGCTTGGAAAGATATACAATCAGCTGTGGAAACAGCAGTGACATGTATTAGTGATTTAAACCAAAGGGTTACAAAGAACCAATGGATTTCTTCAAGGTCTATTGCACTGATGGATTCTCGCAAACTCATCCCATCAGGCTCTGAACACGATGATGAGCGAAAACAAGCCAGATATAGGTTAAACAATAGTCTGAAGAACGACTGTGAGCAGTGATGAGCAACGAAAGCAAAAGAGGTGGAAAAGGCGGCAGCTGTAGGTAACATCAGACAGCTCTTCAGACTCATAAGAGAAACTGGAACTAAAAAGTAAGTTGTAAGTGAGACTATCACGGAAAAAGACGACGTTCTTATCTGCTCCCAGTCCAGATGTTTAGAACGATGGGCGGAACACTTTAAGGAGCAATTCAGTTGGCCTTCAGCTACTCTACAACTACCCACCATTCCCACACAATATGAATGGAACATTAAAGTAGGTCCACCAACTCTAGCTGAAGTTCAAAAGGCTATAGCTAATCTAAAACGAGGAAGGACAGTCGGTCCAGATGGATTAGATCCAGAGGTCTTTAAGGATGGTGGTCCAATTTTAGCTACTAGGTTGACTAATATTTTAGCCAAAATCTGGGAGTTGGTCAAAATCACTTATCGTCCTAATATATAAGAAAGGGTCAAAATCATCCTGTGACAACCATAGAGGGATTAGTTTAACTAATATAGTATCTAATGGGTAGAACACTTCAAAGAACTCTTGAATCGACCAGCACCACTGAACCCACCCAACATCGAAGCAGCACTCACGGACCTCCCAATTGATGTTGGCGCACCGACAATTGAAGAAATCAGCATGGCTATCAGACAAATCAAGAGTGGCAAAGCAGCAGGACTAGACAGCATTCCAGCAGAGGCACTGAAAGCAGACGTAGCGGCAACTGCAAGGATACTCCACATTCTCTTCAGAAAGATCTGGGATGAGGAACAGGTACCAAAAGACTGGAAAGAAGGACTTCTAGTCAAAATACCAAAGAAAGGCGATCTCAGCAACTGTGACAACTACAGGGGAATCACTCTTCTTTCAATACCAGGAAAAGTCTTCAACAGGGTATTGTTAAACAGGATGAAGGACTCCGTAGACACCCAACTTCGAGACCAACAGGCAGGATTCCGTAAGGATAGATCGTGCACAGACCAAATCGCAACTCTACGGATCATTGTGGAACAATCAATTGAATGGAATTCATCACTCTATATCAACTTCATCGACTACGAAAAAGCATTTGATAGCGTGGACAGAACAACCCTATGGAAGCTTCTTCGACACTACGGCGTGCCTCAGAAGATGGTCAATATCATACAGAATTCCTATGATGGATTAAACTGCAAAATCGTGCATGGAGGACAGTTGACAAAGTCGTTCGAAGTAAAGACCGGTGTTAGGCAAGGTTGCTTACTCTCACCCTTTCTCTTTCTCCTGGTGATCGACTGGATCATGAAGACATCAACATCTGAAGGGAAGCACGGGATACAGTGGATAGCTAGGATGCAATTGGATGATCTAGACTTCGCAGATGATCTGGCTCTTCTATCGCATACGTAACAACAAATGCAGAAGAAGACAACCAATGTAGCAGCAGCCTCAGCAGCAATAGGTCTCAATATACACAAAGGGAAAAGCAAGATTCTTCGATACAACACAGCATGTACCAATCCAATCACAATTGACGGAGAAGCTTTGGAAGATGTAAAAACCTTTACATATTTGGGCAGTATCATCGATGAACACGGTGGATCTGATGCAGATGTGAAGACACGGATTGGCAAAGCAAGAGCAGCATATTTACAACTGAAGAATATCTGGAACTCAAAACAATTAGCAACCAACACCAAAGTCAGAATTTTCAATACAAATGTCAAGACAGTTTTACTGTATGGGGCGGAAACCTGGAAAACCACGAAATCCATCGTCCAAAAGATACAGGTGTTTATTAACAGTTGTCTACGCAAAATACTTCAGATCCGCTGGCCGGACACTATAAGCAACAACCTACTGTGGGAGAGAACAAATCAGATCCCAGTGGAGGAAGAAATCAGGAAGAAGCGCTGGAAGTGGATAGGACACACATTGAGGAAAGCACCGAGCTGCGTCACAAGGCAAGTCCTCACATGGAATCCTCAAGGTCGAAGGAGGAGAGGAAGACCAAAGAATACATTACGCCGAGAAATGGAGATAGATATGAGAAAAATGAACAAGAATTAGATGGAACTAGAAAAGAAGGCCCAGGACAGAGTGGGTTGGAGAATGCTGGTCGGCGGCCTATGCTCCATTGGGAGTAACAGGCGTAAGTAAGTAAGTAAGTAATATAATATCTAAAATACTAGCCTCAATAATTATCGGATGCCTAACTAAGACTCGTGAGCTGCAAACACGTGAAAATCAGGCTGGCTTCAGACCTGGTCGTGGCTGCATCGACCACATATTCACCATTCGTCAGGTTCTAGAATACAGGCATACTTATCAGCGTCCGACAATGGTGGTCTTCCTTGACTTAAAAGCAGTGTTTGACTCTGTTGACCGAGAGGTTTTGTGGCAGTGTCTGTTATTGAAAGGCGTACCTCAGAAGTACATAAACCTTGTGAAGGCTCTTTACTCGAACACTACTAGTCGAGTCAGAGCTTATGGCGAAATGTCATCTGATTTTCCAACCTCAAGTGGTGTCCGTCAAGGTTGTCCACTTGCTGCATTTTTATTCAACTTCATCATAGACCTACTGATGGAAATAACGTTCTCGTCGACTGAATTCTCGGGTATTGATCTCCTTCCAGGAGGTCCACTTATCGACTTAGAATACGCAGATGACATAGTCCTGTTTGGTGAAGACACCGATACAATGCAGAGTCCTCTGGTAGCACTAAGAAACAATGCCAGGATGTTTGGAATGCGCTTCTCTGCCTCTAAATGCAAGTTACTGCATCAACACCTGAACTAAGGATAGGGAGTGAAGTAGTCGAACGCGTTGACAACTTCACTTATCTTGGAAGTCTGATCAGCCCTAATGTGTTGGTGTCTGACGAAATCTCTCCACGGATTCGAAAAGCTCGTTTGGCCTCTGCAAACTTACGTCACCTATGGCGAATGCGAGATATCCGTCTATCAATAAAAGTACGAGTATACTGCGCGGAAATTCGTTACGTTCTACTATACGGCTGCGAAACATGGCCTTTAAGAGTTGAAGATACTTGTAAGCTACAAGTATTTGACCACAGGTGCCTTAGAAATATTGCTCGCATCTGCTGGGATCACCGGGTAAGTAATAGTGAGGTTAGACGCAGGGTATTAGGGAATGATGGTAAATCAGTTGATGAGGTTATGAACCTTCATCGACTGAGATGGTTGGGCCACGTGTTGCGCATGCCTGAACACCGATTACCACGGCGCGCAATCGTAACCGGTGTTAGGGATAATTGAAAGAAAGTTAGGGGCGGCCAAACCAAAACGTGGCATCAGTCACTAACTTCTAGTCTGAGCCATGTTGGTAGATGCAGATTACTTGGTTGGGGTCCGCGTGACTATCGTAACCAATTGTTGGAGACTGTGTATACACTCTCTGTCTTCTTTTAAACTAAGGGAATAAAATCACTTCATATCTGTCTTTCTACGAACTAATTCTGTATTCCTGTACTATGTCCTTATATGCAATCTTTCTTTTATATATGGCCACCACTGAATTAACTACTTCTATGAATCCGGTGTTCATGTTGTTGTGCTAATGCGGTATGGCAACTTGAATCGATGTATATATGTGCCTGGTCCTACGTTGCAGCTGACTGACTGATATGTTTTAGTATAGTCATTCAGGCCTTGGCATAATGCTTCTTATCCACACTTTATTCCTTTTTGAAAAGATTAGTGTATACAACATTAGAAAGTGTGGATTTTTGATCAAATCAAACTCCAAAAAACAAACATTTTGTATTCATACAAGTCAGTAACCTAGAGTACTAACCGAAAGGAAAATATATTTGTTAATAAAGGGTTTGAAGAACTGATCTTATCAAGAATTATTCGTTTAGAATAAAATGAGTTCAGTTTCAAGTTCAAATAGACACAATCATTAAAATCGTATTCTAATATGATACTAAGGAATTCTTATCTCGAATCACTATAATAGTATATTGAACTATAGAATACGAAAGGTATTTCTGTATATTGTTGAGTTTACTGACAGTTGTTACAGATTACGTGGGTTTTCTCACCATAAGCGTTTATTATCTATATCTGTATTTCGAGAATAAAACTACTTTTTCTGAGTATTTTTATTTACTTTACCAACAAAACAACGTAAATTACATGAGTAAATATATGTTTTTTCTATTTTAGTCGATTTCGTCGTCTGTGGATAATTGAAGAATATCACAAGTTCACTTTTGCCTCCGCTTCTGTATACATATAATAAACAGTTTTCACCTAAACTTATATGATCCCTTTCATCTAGATATTGATCTCTAATGAACCAAGTATTTATTACTGGTTTTATTTTATTACCATTATTCTCTTAGAATTTTTTTCAGTTTGTCTGTATTTGTTTGCTCTGTGGTTCGTTCTTTGTATATAATGGTTTTCTAATATTGCCTTTTTATTTTGTGTACTTTTTTTTCTTTTCTGTTAGTTATTTAATAATAATTCGAGAAAAATTCAGGTATTGGTTTGAATAATTGAAATATTATTAAGGTATAGTAGATATTTTGAAGATTCTCTGTAGATCAAGTTGATTGGCGTTAGGTGGTATTCAGCAAGAAACCGTGAACCTAGGTTTCACGCTGGTTAACATTCGTCAACAACATTTACCCGCCAAGTTGAGGGGACTGTTGCTGCATGTGATAGTTGAACTTGCGTTATCTAGCTTCACAGTCTGAGATGTTACCACTAAGCTATCCACACAGAAGCTGATTTTTTGAAAAACTGAGATATTAACATTCATTGATAACTGATTAGTGTTCAATGTCTGTTTGCATAGTTCTTAGTTGCAGCATGGTCACTGGTCCAGGCTACTCGACATTGCTAACTACCTTCAATTAATTAACATCAAAATAGAATCCTGTCCCCACGCCACTAAAACTTACTTCAAGTAAAAAAGGATACGGAGGACTTTTATTTCATATTCTAAGAACTCAGCACTAAATAATTTAACAATAATAATGTTGTACCGAAAGCTTCTCGTTATCTTGAGCCAACGATTGAAGTGCAATGAATCTACATTGGAATGATAATTCGGTCAATTGGAATTAATTTAATCAATTTGAAACTTTGTAAGTCCTCAACTACTCAAGCTGGTTCTAACCATTGATAAAGGTTTTCCAGTCTATGATATTTATGCATTAATTGCTTGTTTTCTGTGGTATATTCTACTGATTAGTTTAAACTAGCTTCAGACCTATACACGAGAGGTTTCCTAGATGTGTAGTCTGTTATTGGGCTACATTTTAATACATTAGGTGAAATGAACGTGTGCAGTATATTGTGGTCTCTACATTTTAAAGTATGGGAAATTTCTTTTTATGTAATAGTTGCGATTGCTAAAACTACAATAAAAACTTTGTTTTGGAACATTAGTATTAAAAATTTGCAAGAATTATCAATGGATACATATATCTTCGTCTCGTGATTGGTTATCAGCCTAAGTGTTCATTAACAAATTACTGAGGGGGTAATTTAACAACTAATATTTAGATCATCGATTTACTCAGCTTCTGTTGCCTGTATACCCTTGGTAAACTTTTTATTTTACTATTTTGGTTAACAGCTTAATAAATACCTGAGTAGTTTATATCACGAATAGTCGTGTGTTTTTTTTTAATTCGATAACAACGAATGGATTGTCAACACTTTTCAAAACTATACAGAATCATTTTATATCTAGATTTTACAATGAATCTTATACTAAATAATTTAAACGAGATTCGGTAAGAATGTTGTGGTTCGGTGGAGTATATATGTCTAGGTCACAGTAACTAGTTTTTAGCCACAAATCGTCCTACTTATATTCATTTCAGTTAATACTCATGGTCTGTATTGATTAAAACAGTAGTTGTTAGTCAAATTATGTATCAAATACTTAATGATGGTACCGAAAATTCAACTATTAAGTTGTGGTAAAAGAATCGAAGTATAAAAAGTGCGATTTGTTTAGTGTTTATTAAATGATAATTCAAGATTGTTTCCAGATAATTTGAAGCAACCTTTATGCTATTATATCGGGTTAGTCAGTCAGTCAGTAACAACGTGGAACTTCGTACGTACGTACATCAGTTCGAGTTGCCATACCACATTAGCACAGAGATTCAGTTATCGATTCAAATCCCATAGTGGTAGAGGTACTGAAAGTATAAGTAGAAATAGGGGACATTAAGGTTTGATGATGTTATTAAAGGAGTATAGTCCAGTGGAATAAATTGGGAAAGAAAATAAAGGACATGAAGAATTCAGAAGACTAGAGTTTGAGAGAACACAAAGAGTGGATGCACCTGCGCCATTGCAAACGATTTTGAGCCATGTCATTCAAGGTCTCTAACCATCGGTTGCTATCGTCTCGCGGTCCCCAACCAGGTAGTCTACACCTACCAACATGTCCCAGTCCACTTGTCAGTGACTTCATCGATTTGTGCCATGTTTTGGTCTGGCCGCCCCTATCTTTCTTCCAACCTACTCCTACAACACCATAAAACATAGCACGTCGGGGCAGTCGGTGGTCGGGCATGCGCAACACATGTCCCAGCCATCTCAACTGATTAAGTTTCACTACTTCATCAATTGACTTGCCATCCTTACCTAGTACCCGTTTCCTAACAACTGAGTTACTTACTCGGTGGTCCCAGGATATACGAGCGATGTTTCGAAGACACCTATGGTCAAATACTAGTAACCTACGAATATCCTCTACTCTTACCGGCCATGTTTCACTGCCATAAAGTAGGACAGAACGAACTGCTGCGCCGTAAACTCGTCCTTTGGTTGATAGACGGATATCTCGCCTACGCCACAAATGACGCAAGTTGGCAAAAGCTAGTCGAGCCTTCTGTATCCGTGCTGAGATTTCGTCACACACCAAACCACAAGGGCTGATGAGACTTCCGAGATAAGTGAAGCGGTCGACACGCTCAACTACTTCACTCCCTATCACTAGTTCGGGTGTCAACGCAACCCAATCCTGAAGCAACATTTTGCATTTCGAGGGAGAAAATCGCATGCCGAACATGCTTGCATTGTTGCTTGGAGTGGTCAGTAGAATCTGCATTCTGTCAGCGTCTTCACCAAATAGAACTATGTCATCGGCATATTCTAAGTCAACAAGTGGATCTCCCGGTAGAAGTTCAACTCCTGGAAATTTAGATGAGGAAAGTGTCATTTCTAAAAGGACGTCAACGACAAAGTTAAACAAGAATGGAGAGAGTGGACAGCCCTGACGAACACCACTTGAGGTAATCAATTCTGATGACAGTTCACCATAAGCTCTCACTCGACCAGTTGTGTTCGAGTAGAGAGCCCTTATAAGGTTGATGTACTTCTTTGGTACTCCCTTCAGTGACAAACACTGCCATAGAACCTCACGATCAACAGAGTCAAATGCCGCCTTAAGGTCGAGAAATACTACCATTGTGGGACGTCTGAATGTGTGTCTATGTTCTAGGACCTGACGTAATGTGAGTATTTGATCAATACAACCACGTCCAGGTCGAAAACCAGCCTGGTTTTCTCTAGTCTGCTCTTCACGAGCTTTGGTTAGACGTCGAAGTATTATTGAAGCTAATATTTTAGACACTATATTAGTCAAACCAATTCCTCTGTGATTGTCACAGGAGGACTTTTTTCCTTTCTTATAGACTGGCACAATCAGTGATTGAGACCAGTCAGATGGGATTACGTCCAGTTCCCAGATTCTACCTAAGACCTCAGTCAATCTCGCTGCTAATACTGGACCGCCATCCTTAGAAATCTCAGGGGTAAACCTATCAGGGCCTGCTGCTCTCCCACGCTTCAGATTTCCTATAGCTTTTTCAACTTCGTAAAGAGTCGAGGACTTACATCAACTTGCCATTCAGGTCGACTGGAGATCGTGGGAAACCGAAGTGTGGCTGAAGGCCAGTTGAACTGATCCCTAGAGTATTCTGCCCATCGATCCAATCTCCTGGATTGAGAATGAATAATATGTCCATCTTTCTCTGCGATTGTTTCGCTAACCCGAATATATCGGGTTAACTGAATAAATCTGTCATATCCAGATGTGCTAATTGACCTAAAGAAATTTTAGATGATTTTTGCTTGTTAAGCGTAAAGCTAAGTATTTTAATTGGAATAGATAGTAATCTGACTTATATAAATACTTAGTAGTCATACTTTATTTAATTAAAGTCGTTGCATAAGATCTGTATAATAAGCTCCATTTGCCTATTTAATTAATACTAAAACCTAGTCGATTGACTCTTATTATCACGGATGTCAATAATCTGCAGAATAGAACTTCATTTAGTTTTGCTGCAGAGCTCAAAGGCAACTTCGTATGGAGTAAATTTAATGATGAATATTTTGTATGACTTTAGCTTCACAATGGAGGGATATTTTAAGCATTTTATGTGAAGTTCATCAAACATTTTACAAGCATCTTTAAAAAGATTATACCATAGCTGTTTGAAATAGACGAATGCAATTAAATTACTGAAGTGACAAAAATTATAAATCGTCATATTAAAAAAATCACCGTATTTGTTGAAAGTGGACTCTCTATTAAACCTATCTAAGACTATGTCATTTGATTCATTATAGAGCCGAATAGACAAGGGGTTTGTCGAACAGGTTTCGTGTTTGGGAATTTAATTTTTTTTCCTGTGCTCACTTTTTCCAGTTAAAATCAATTTTTTTTATTTTTGGTGGGCTTGGGTGCTGCTCCGGTGTCTAAATCCAACTGGGTGGTTTTCTTAGGAGATCACTCTTCGAGTCTTTGACCTAGAGTTATAATCCACAAGGCAGTTATGTGGCGTTATGTGATGCAGTCCCATGGTAGCCGATGACCAAGGATGGGTTTATACACCATTTTTCACATAAAGGTCTTCAAGCCTATGTGCACTACCGGTATGGAATCAGAACTTTCCGGTTGACCTAGGTGGATCCTCCATATACACCAACTTGATTTATGCGCCAGAAATTCTCTTTTCATCTAAATTTTGTAAACAACACCCATGTCGAGAAAAGACAGTGGGTAGGACTTCTCTGACAGAGAGCATACGAAGGTATTTCAAATGGGACTAGGGTTTCTCACTACCCTTAGCCGTACTAGAGCAGTTGGAGGCATTACATTCCGAGGTTAAGACTGGCTTGAAAAAGTAGGGAGAATGGTCAGTGTACGACATAGTGTCGTGGTATGTAAAAAAGCAGTACAGGATTGGCATCTGTCGATCCTTTACGACTCGCTGGTTAAGGTCCTAGAAGTAACTCAACACAATGACTTGGAACGTTATCAGACATGGGTCAGAATATAAGCCTGTGGTGGTCCTGTTATGATTTTCTTTAACATTTTTCATATAAGATAAGGGAAATTCTTTGCTGAAAGAATCCTTTCTAGTTGTTTTCACTTTAACGGATTCACCTATTAACAATATTTTTGTTTTTACTCTCATCCATCGGTTTTTGTTCATTGTTTTCTTATCACATCCACCCTTTTCTC